CCGTGATGAAACAACTCCTACAAACTCTACCAAGAGTGACTGAATCCCCAAAAAGTGTGTCAACACAGAGCGGTCTGTCTAACTGACTGACCTCCAAACCCAAAGCCCGTGCAAATAATGAAGTAATGAATGAATAAAAAGCACCAGAATCAAACAATACACGTGTTCAAGAATGGGACACAAGAAACATACCCTTGACAACTGAAGGACTGGATGGTGACTCGGCTGGAGTGAGTGCAAACATGCGACCCTGGGTCCTCTACCCCTGAGAACTACCTGCCTGATAGCCAGACTGCTGGGTGGGTGCACTCGAAGAAGCTCCCCTACCCGGTAGAGAACTCTGGGCAGACATGACTGGCTGAGACGGCTGAGGTGGTGGTGGCAGTCGAAACCCAGACTGAACTGTGGCAGACTACATCTGCCTCTGCTGGGAACCTACACCTCTACCCAAACCACTACCCCGCTGTGGACAATCTTTCACCCTGTGGCCCTGCTGGCCACACCCAAAACATCCACTAGACGCCACCTGAATCTGAGTACACTGGGACTTGTGATACCCTGGCTACCCACACTTGAAACAAATCATTTGAGCTACCTGTGTCTGAGTGCATTGGGACTTATAATGTCCCAGCTGTCCGCATCTAAAATAAGTAACATTCGGTGTAGAAGACCCCATGGACACTGAAGCTGTGGGGGCAGATTTGACTGGCTGCTGTCCTCTGAACCCTAACTGCTCATGCTTCTGCTTCTTACTTGATTGACCCTCAGAGAAAGCACCCATACCCCTGTTGTTCTTGTAGGATTCCGTGATAGCGTTACTGTGCCTACTTTCAGCCTCAACTACTAAGGCCTTTCGTATTGCTTTTGCGTACTCTGTCGGTTCTGAGGCAGCTACAATTGGCCAGATGGTGAGATTAAGACCATCAACAAACTTCTCAATATTTCCTTCCTCATCATTAGCAATCCCCGGTGCAAACCTCAAAAGCGATGTCAAGTTGTTCTTATACACTGTAACTGTCATGTTTCCTTACTTCAACCCATCAAACTCCTTCTTTAGTTCCCTCCGCTTAGGTGCCGGAAAGTACTTCTCATAGTACAATTTCTTAAAAGTACCATATGTCATTGTATCCAGATTATGGGTGTGAGAAATGATCTTCCACCATATCTCAGCATCACCAATAAAATTGTAAGTCGCCAATATGATCATCAACTTGTCCGTTGCCAAATTCATAGCATTAATATGCTTCTCCACCCTATCCATGAAACTATCCGCAACAAGCGGATCTGGGCCGCCCTTAAACAAAGTTGGCATCAATTTCACAAACTTTGCAATGTGGTAAAAAGTATCGTCTAACTCATTTTTCTTTGGAGGTGGTGGTGGTGGTGCCGGTGGTGGCACAAACTGTGACGATGACGCACCTGTCAGTCAATATGCATCAAAAATAGCTGCCTGAACAGCTAACCTCAACTGCTCCCTATTCATCTGAAAAGTTGGATCAACGGTTCCCCTCGCTTGTCCCCCTTGTGGTGGGACCAAATCACTTAACAAGATATCTTCCTCAACTTGCTCCTGATCCCTTTCCACGGGATTGGAGCTAGAACTTTCCCCGGGATCCCTTTGTGGTGGCATGATGCTATAAGAAAAATAAAACGGATCAATAACGATGACACTAAAATACGCACGAGAACGGAATTCTCACACGAATGATTTGACAAGAATGGAAACACATAAACACCTTCTATACTCCCAAAATACCCAACTAATGATAAACATAATCATAATAATATACAACAACATTAACCACTTAACACGTAATGATATAAACATTTAAACAATTAAGCATACCTTTCAAATAATTAAACACCTTAACACATAAACATATAAGCATGCAATCACGAAAGTAGTTAAGCAAGTAAACAAATAACTCAACTCCCCATGCAATCCTAGGTAGGCCTCTACCCGTCGTCCTAATGGTATTCGAACCATCGCTCTAATACCAAATTTGTAACGACCCGAAAAGATACCAAAATAATAATAAAAATTTATAAAAATTTCGGCATGACCTCCGCAGAAAATGTCCCTCAACAACCTGTACAAATACAAAAAAATAAATGCAATAGCCTCACTGGGCCTTAAATCTAACTTATCATGTCCCAACGCACAATTCAGATATTATATTACATTCCCAAAATGGCTACATACATACAGAAGTCCCGTTCCTCCATCTCGTCCAAACAAGGGATACACTTTAGTTACATCAATTTACAGTCCAGAATGTAGTAAGAATTTAAAAGTCCATAATTTATAACATTATACTAATTAAACTAAAGTGTCACAAGGTAGTTAATATTACATTTACAAAATACTAGAGTCTAATACAAAAGATAACAAAATAGAATGGGTCTTCAAGCTCATCTAAACCTGTGGTGGACCGTCGTCCGCCACCTCTTTTCCATATCCTGAAAATTGTTAAAATAAGGGGGTGAGCATAAGCTCAGTAGGAAGTGTCTAAGACACACTTCTTATGTCCCCGTGAATCCATACAATGAATAGATAAAAAGTGAACGGGATCATGCCATCGGAAAACACACATTCTCAACCACAATAACAAGTATATAACAAATATCAACCAATCACAAATTTACCACGATGTCATGAAGTGCAATGTTATGCAAATGTCACTCCCCATTTTCGAAACAATTCAGTTTCAATAACCAAACCGTTAGTGTAATCCGACTCAAGTCACCTCCAAGGCGTCATAAATGGAGGGTTGGCTAACTATCCACGACCACAAGGCACCTCCAAGGCGTCGCATCCGGCCTAGTTAGCTCAACCGTACTTCCTTTTAGACTACACTAACAACACGGACCACCAGGCGCCTCCTAGGCGTCCGGTTTTCGCAAACTCCTTTTTTTAAAAAAATATTTTTTTCTCAACAACAATTCATTTATTTTAAAACATTTTTCCCCCTATTTCTTCCCCAATGGATGCATGAATGCTTCATACTTCATTTCATCAATTCCACTATAATGTTCCCACATACTTGTTCAAATAAATTAATAAATTACTAAAAGTACACAATTCATTTTCTCATCCCACATTTTGATAGTAATTTAAATATACAATTCCTAAATTGATTTCCATAATTATACCATAATTTTTTTTTCATAGCAATTGAAATCATGAAAACAAACCAACACTAAGCATGCTTCTTTACAAGTTAAAACTTATCATACTATTAAGCCAATTAACACACAACACACATTTATCACCATCAACATAAATAACCCTAACAAACATAATCACAAAAAAATAAAATTAAGCATGCTTAGAATCAAATTAAAGGGGAAAATTCACAAGTTATCCAAGAACTAGTGGATTAAAGCACCCCTACCTCAAATTGATGAAAACCCCCAATTTGAGCTCAAGAACCCTAGAATTTCGAACTCCCTAGACTTGGCCAAACAGTGATTGGCACCTATCAAACTGACGACCTCGATGAGCTATCCAACTTTGCTTCACAATATTCTACCAAAATCCAAAAGATTAAAGCTGGATCAAAGCTTGAAATTGCAAAAAAAAAAAAAAAAAAAAAAAAAAAAAAAAAAAAAAAAAAAAAAAGAAGAAGAAGAAGAAGAAGAAGAAGAAACTGCCGAGACTGGACGCAGAGAGAGAGAGAAAATAGATGGGTCATGAAATGGCCTTATGGCCTTTTGTGGTGGTTAAAACATTGGTGGGGCCCACCACTTTATTTCTTTTTCTTTTATACTTATTTTTAATATCCTAAATATATATATATATATATATAAAAAGCATAACATTACATTTTCATACCATTTCAACTAACATATAATCACACGCTTCTTGTACAACAAATAGGCCATTTTGCAAAGAATTAACACAAATCAAGCATGCTATATAACAATTAAATATGTATTTTTATGATACATCAATTAACACTTGACCACACACTTCATATATAACAATTAAGCTATTTTGTAAGAAACTTACACAAATTAAGCATACTAGGTTTAATTTATGGAGAGTAATTCACCAAAAATAAAAAGATTATGTATTAGAAACCCCTACCTCAAAAGATGCAAAAAGCTCCAAAAATTGCCCAAATTTTCGAAATCCCTAAGTTAGCCAAATGGTGATTTGGTTCTATCAAAGTGTAGATCTCAACGAGCTCTCCAATTTGCCTCAAACGGTACCTACGAATTCTCAAAATTGAGAGAGTAATTAAAGCTTGTATTTTGTGAAAATAGAAAAAGAAAAATGAGAAAGAAGAGGGAGAGAAAGATAGTGCCGGGGAGAGAGAAAAAGTGAAGCCAAAATGGCCTATTGGCCACTAAATTGGTAAAGTGGGGGTGGGTCCCACAAACATAAAAATATCCCACTACTTTTTTTTTTTCATTATTATGTAGGTCATATGTGTGTGTGTGTGTATATATATATTTATTTATTTCTTTACAACCACATAAATCAACTTACCACCATGAAATTATGTACAAAATAATAGTGCATGAAATGCAATGAACCCGTGACACAACTCTCGTATACAACAATCCTGATAGCAGGTCTCACCTGGGACCTTCCGGCTCGAAAAACAGAAAATACCGAAATGGCAACCATTGCATTTCCAAGAATCCTGAACTCAATGGAATTCCCCAACCAACTCTCAAACACACCAGACGCACCTCATGGTATCCGACACGCAAAACGAGAAAAGACAAAAATACTCTCGAAAAATCAGAAAATTCCAGTAATTGGAAAATGGCGAAAAACAAAAACATTACAATTGGACTTTTTGTCATTTTATAAACTTTAGTTGCTACATAATTAATCTAATTTTCAAAATTACAGAAGTTGTACTACTTCTAAAATTAATGATAACATTTAATTTATTGGCTTTTCATAGAATTTGTAGCATTTTTTTTAGTTAATGTCAATGTGAACCTTTTAATTGAGTTCAAATACATTTTGTTAATGATGGAAGACATTTGATGCTGCGGTGGGTGATATAACGATAACTGCTGACCGTTCAAGGGTTGTCGATTTTACTTTACCATATACCGAGCAAGGTCATCTATGGCTGATGGTTTCAATGAAGCCCCAACCTCCCAACTTATGCTTGTTTTTGAAGCCATTCACCATGCAATTGTGGTTTGCCATTTGGACCCATATGATGTGCACAATGTTCATGGTTTGGTTATTTGAGCATCGCTCCAATCCAGAATTCCATGGCCAACTCGGCAATGTTCTTTGGTTCACCTTCTCTTCACTTTTCTTTGCTCACAGTTAAGTATCCCTCGCATATGTTTTGCACCAAAGTATTTCATTCAAGATATATTGGTTGTAGGAAGGAAAATCATAGTTTTCATGGTATAAATCATAGAGGTCATCTCCTTGTAGCGTTGGTTGAGATGAATTGAAATGAATCACACACAGTAGCTAAGTTTTTTCTCTCTCATACAGACAATGAGTAAATTTTGCAGAGGAAAGGATTCAAAGCAACTATAGTCGAGTGGTGGTCGTGGTGTGGCTTATTGTGGAGGTGATCTTAATACAAAGCTACATTACCAGCCTCGCTTCAATGCTCACCGTCACAAGGCTTGATCCGAATGTTGACTCATCAGGACCCAGTAAATTTGATTTTAAGGAGTTGTACAACAGCAGGGAAGACATTGCCACTGAATCTCACTACCTCGACGCTTTCAAGAGTGGCAAAATCTCAGCCGCATTTCTTGAAGTCCCTTATGCAAAAGCTATTGACAGCCACTACTGCAATCAACTTGCGGTCACAGAACCAATACATGAATTCGGAGGGTTTGGCTTCGTGAGTGCTTGCTTCAACTCTTCTAATTCCTTGAAAATTGAAAGTCAATTTCTGTGGTAGTGAATTACCAGACATATATTATATATAGATATAGATATAAAAAGAATAGAAGTTTTGATGAGTAGGAAAACTCACCAACCAATTAGTAAAACAAACAGTGTCTTTGAATCCTTTTAGTTTCTTGAACACCATCTTTCTTCATCACTAATCCATAAGCACTAGCTAACCACATATTTATTATTAACTCCACTTAAAATCAAATACAAACTGTATGAATATTAGATTTTCCTCTTGCTCTAAGTGCAGGTATTCCAAAAAGGTTCTCCGATTGTTGACAATATCTCTACAGCCATTCTAAACCTAATGCAGGACGGCACACTCAAAAAATTGGAAGATGAGTACTTCACTCCCTCCTCGGATTGTTCTAACTTCCAAACAGCCAAAAACAACCGTGGCCTGAGCGTCCAGCACTTCCGGGGTCTATCCGTATTTTACCTAGCCATTTCCACCATTTGTATACTATTATTTGTTCAGAAACACCGCCGTGAAGTACTTCAAGAAGGCAACATCACGCCAATGCTTGGAAAAAATAACATTGCAGATTCAAGATATCCTGGCAGGGCTCCAATCTCAGGTCATGCGCCAAATTATCTTGAAATGCATTAATTAAACACAATAGTTAGTTATGTTGTTTATCTAGATATAAAAATAAGAAGAATGCAAAGAACATACTGTTTTTCTGTACATTATCTAATATGTTTGTAAGCACAAATTTCCTGTCTGAATTCGATCCTTCGCATCCGGAGGAGGGATTTATAATTAAACACAACAACTAGTTATGTTGTTTATCTAAATATAAAAATAAGAAGAATGGGAAGAACATACTGTTTTTTTCTGTACATTAGCTAATATGTTTGTAGGCACAAATTTCCTGTCTGAATTTAAGAACAATTATTCAATTTTATTATGAGATGTGGTGGAACCACATTCGTAGACTTCAGCTTGATAAAGAGATCTTGACTGTTTGATAGATCAAAGGGGTACTAAACCATCTCAAAACGTTAAGTGTCCACAATGTCATAATCCATTTATGAAATGTAATAATTATTGTTATTTTGTATCACAAATGAAAAAAATGTGGACTAGAATAGAATGTAAGTATGATAGACCTTCAAATGCCCTATTAGGAAGGGTTTCACTGCTTCTTTCCAAGATAGATTGATTCTCTTATCTCCAGTGAAAGAAAGTGATTTTGAATGCAATGGCTGCAATATTAAAAATTGTAGAAAAAATCAGTTTGAAAACACAGACATCTTCTAATAAGCCATGGGAGTTTCATTCCCTCACCTGTGTCATTGCCAAAATGTTATTGCAGGTTTGTAGTCTGGTAGTAGTATTCTGCTTCTGAGTTTTCTGCAGATTACATAGATTGCGAATCAGATATATGCTACTAGAATTGCTTGGCAAGACACGATTCAAGATCTCCAGAGTGAACTCACAATGCTAGCCTTTGCTTCATCGAATGGTGGTCCTAGCTAGCTCTTCGACACTCCTTAACCTGTCTCAATGACATAGCACAATTAGGATGGAGAGATCAGTTCCAACCATATTCCATGTCAAACAATATAACACAGACAGTCAATTTATCATCCCCACTTGTTGCTATTGCTATTTAAGTTGGTGAGAAACATATACATGAATTAGAAATAACAGAATAATGCTGAAAATATAATTTATTAGGATTACATGCAGTGACTGATTGTAGGACAGGTCAGGAAAGGGAACCCTATCAGATACTGACTGATTCTAGTAAACGAATCCAAACCCCATAGCAGGGGCAGGTAAGTCCATCACGTATAAAGGTGATAATAAACGTAAGAATTGATTCAATACTATCAAATACCTCACGACATGAAAAGAAAAAAAATATATAAAAATGAATAAACAAAGTGATGATTTCCAACATGTTCATAGACGAGCCTTCAATCATACAGAGACAAGAATTATGACAATTGATGATATCTTAATCTCGATCTTGGATATGAAATGGTAGATTGTAATATCTCCAGTGTCGCAGCTCTTCTTATTTTGAAAATGGCACTTCATCACAAATTAAAACCATTACAGATAATGAACTCTGGAACCTCCACTAAGAAAACTAGTGGTCGGAAAGTCAACGAACAAGGCCCTCTGGCAGGGTCACCTAGCAGCGAAGGACCGGAATTCAAACCACCTCAGATTTAGTCCTTCTTTTAACCATCAAAATTAAGTAGCCAAAAATTATATAAAGGGGGCAGGGTTCTCAATAATAGCTAGTACTGGGGCAGGTTTGCAGCTGGATGCCATGGAAAAGCACTAAACCAAAGCCCAAATCAGGTAACCTAATACTCGTCCAATTAATGGTCACCCAGAACTGTCTCAGTGGGGGCATCTCAGGCCATAACATGGAACTAAAAAGCCTCATTGCCATCCCTAGGTCATCATTAAAACTGGTGTCACTAAAGCACTAGGGCTTTTGAGACTTCCCCAAGCAAAATCTCTTTTTTTTTTCCCAATGCTAGCATAGGAGACCCTCAAGTTATTGTTGCCCTTTACAAGATTGATGCACATCCATGGTGAAACAACGAACTATACTGTAAAAAATATACATCAGGGAAGGAAATAATAATAGAAATTTGTAGGTGATGGATGCATAGTGGGGCAAGGAGAATAAGGTAGACAAGAACCAACAATGGGATGATAAAAGAAGTGAAGCAATAATAAAGAAAATTGTAAATCTGAAAGTGGAATAGAGAAAAAGGTGATTGATTCAATTCAATGGAACCAAAAAAATCGAAGGCAGGCCATAAAAACATTTGTCTTTACGGTGAGGAAACATGATAACTTTGATTTCATAGAATGTAGTGACAAGATAGAGCTGAATGGCAAGATAGGATCTCTTCAACTGAGCACACTGCTATATTTGGAGAAGAAGTCTTTTCTAGGTTGAGTTGTACTACCAATCACCAGTCGCACAGTTTTGACATCAACAGAATGAAAGGGGCGATCTCGTGGTTCTTGGTTTGTGAAGATGCGTTGTTAGGTGCTCCATTTTATTTTCACATTGAGGCCAAACCTAAACCTGTGCTCTAGAGATTGATGTCCATACACTGATAAGGAATGTATGGATTCTCGAGAAGAGAGGAGCCGTGGTGGTCCTCCCCGGACATCTTCAAAACTGAAAGCTAATGCATATTGAGAGAACTGACAAAAAGAAGTAAATAAAGTGCAACCGGTACCATGCTGATGCAACCTTGTGTAATGATGGAGAAAACCATCCACCAATCAAACTATATGATTCAAATTTTGGGTCCACACTCCAACCTTGAGGCTTATTTTCCTTTAGCAGAACTGAGCCTCTGGCACTATCACTCTCTCCTCCCAGACCATAGTGGCTTTACCTTCTTCCCAAGAGAAATGGCAATTGCGCAGCTAACAGTCTGACATAGAAAATATCCATAATGCTTAACATGTGTCCAAGTTCCAATAATCAATGAAATAAACAAATTATGAAAGTTAACTGAGTGGTGATTTCAATCCCCTGTATCAACAAAATTATACGGACTAAAATCAGGAGCTGTTTCTAGAATTGCATAGATAGAGGTCTGTATTAACAATTAAATCCCCTGAAGAAGAGAAACAACAGGAGTGTCTAAGAGACACTTGTTTCCTCCCAGTTGTACTTGTACCTGAAATTCTGACCATCTTCTACATTGTCACTTCCACCATTTGCATACTACTATTCATCATTCACTCACTCAACAATCAGCAACAATGCCATGAAGTTCAAGAAGGCAACATCACATCAACTTGGAACAAGATACTTCCACACACGCGATTTTTGAATAATGCAGATTCAAGAGATCATGGAAAGACTCCAAACTCAGGTCATGCACCAAATTATATCGAAATGTGTTAATTAAACACATAGTTGTGTGTGTGAATACTTACCTAACACACACACACAAAACACCTAGTTATGTTGTTTAGCTAGATATAAGAATAAAAAGAATGAAAAGCAAGTACTGATTTTCTGTTATTTAGCCAAAATCTTTGTAAACATCCAAAAATCTAGGAATAAAATTACAAAACAGATATTTAGTTTTATTAATTTCAGAAATATGTACAATTCTCTGTTGCATAACAAAGAATGTTCCTGAGATTAAATTTCCTCAATATTTTCGGATGCAAGAGCTGCAAAGACCTTGATCATAAACTGGTTAGGATTAGCTTTCTTCAAAATTTCAAGATTGAATTCAGAAACTTTGATGGTTGGTATAGTCAGAGGTTCTCGTAGAGCAACTCTCTGTGTGTCTTGAAAGTTTTAAGTGACCTACTATTTATAGGCCAAATGGTGGACCCGCACTTGTAGACTTCAACTTGATCAAGAGAACTCGATTTTTATCAATCAGACGGTGATTAAACCATCTCAAAACCTTAGTGTCTACAATGTCATAATCCATATAATATATGTTACTTTATTTTGTAGCACAAATGAAAAATGTGAACTAGAATATAAGTACAAGGTTCATGTAGGGCTATAATTCAAATTAACTAAAATGTTCATAAACAGCTCAGGATCAGTTTAGGCTCGTTCATTAAGTTAATGAGTTGAGCTTGTGCACGATTTTTGAGCTCGTTTAATAAAAAGTTAATCCCAAACATTGTTAAACTCAGTTCGTGAACATTAAGGTCATGTAGACTCGTACGTGTTCATGAAGATGGGATCATAAACATAAGCATACATAGATTCATGAATGTAGGCTACGTGGACTTGTGTAGGCTCGTATAAATTCATGAACAAGGCAAAGTGATAGCTTAAACATAGTCCGAACACAAAATCTTAGCTCAACTTTTCGAGCTCGTCACCATTCCAAGCTGAATCCATGAACGAACTGAAGCCAAATAAACTGAATGCAACATAAAACTCTTCCCTTATTTAAGTGGCATATAAGTCTCTCCCTGCACATGTAAGTGTCATCAAACCTTCCTTTTTGTTCTTTCCAGTAGTTTTTACTGAGGGTATGCGCTCTGTGCGCCTGTACATATATTTTTTCCTTTTTTTTATACATCATCCAATTATGAAAAAAAAAAAAAAGTGTCATCAAACCTCTCTCCCTAGGCGATGTGGGACGTCACAGTAAATGTGTGTGTTGATTAAGAACTGTAAACTTCGTTTTCCTCTATTCATTTAGTACATTGTTGACACAAAATACAAAGTAACTAAATGCGACATAAAACTGTTCCTAAAGAATAAATTCTAATGTTCCTATGTCCAGACTCCAATGGTGTTGAATGATTTATTTAGCTGTCCAGATTGCGACTCTTCAACTAATCATACATCCCAACTCGCAGAACTTAATAAGAAAATGAATAGGATTGCCAAAAGAGTTAATTATGAAGTCTTTAATACTGCTCAATTCTTTGGTGACTATATGTAATGTATTTGTAGAGACAGTATTTGTTGACTATATGTAATGTAATTAAAAATAGACACACATAGGACATCAAGAAACCTTAGCAAATTACATGGACGTGGAGGAAGCTACCTCAATAGAGAAGTGTAACCAAGCCTATGGTGAAAAAACCAAAGTGGGTAATGGGGGAGCATACCTTCTTCTTCTGGCTACATCCATGGTGTCTCAAACTAGTCCGCTGATTGATGGAACTAGTGATGCAAATCTCCACCTTCCCTATTTTCCCAAAAATGTCAAGCTCACTTCTTTCATCCATTGACTGGGAGCCGCCGTGGCCCTCTTCCAGGCCTCATGATCGCCCGGGTGGTTAAATTGCTCCACCGTTGCCTCGTGGTGGAGGTCGGATTCCAAGAGGGGTTGCTTGTTCGTTTGAGTTGGGCCTAAAATCTTTCACTTTGTTCCTTAGCTGGGCTTTGTCCATGGGCCTTTGGACTTTTCTGTATATTTTTTCATTTATACCATTTTGGATTTTTTTTTTTTTTTTTTTTTTTTTTTTTTTTTTTAAGAAAATGATATACTTAACAATTGTTCAACGGACTTGATGTGACAATTAAAGATTCTCATATGCATTTAAAAAAACAAATCGATTTTTGTAGCAGTACTCAAATCCATAAAAGTATCAATTAGGTACACTATTTTGGTTTAATTCTCTTTATCTTTTCTTTCTTTGTGGGTATCATGAGTCATGATCAGAGTGCAATACTAATTTTTTTCCTTCTTTCTAGCATTCGAATACGGAAACATTCACTCGCAAAAGAGAATCGGATATTATTGGTTGCCGGTAGAAGAGAATCGGATTTGATTCAGAAAGGGGTACAATTTGCAGGCTGTTTGGAGTCCAAATGTCAAATTGGTTGTCGGTAGAAGAGAAATTCTTCAATTTCTTTTTGACGATATGCGGGGGAGTTAAGGTTCAGATCTTCTCGGGCCATCAATGGAGGCCGAAGTGGCGACGGAGAAGAAGATGACGAAGGAGATGCCGTTGGTGAGATGCAGGGGAGAGAGAGTTATATGTTAATTTGTGTCTAAATAAATGAATGAATGGATAAATGAATGTTTGATTTAAATAGTAAAAGGGGTATTTTAAGTAACAAAATATAATGAACAGTGAATATTTATGTCAGGAATTCAGTAAATCTCATTTTTAGAAATTTTAAGACTTTGACTTAATCATACGGTAAATATGAGTCTATAAGTACATTTAGTGTAAAAATTCCTTATTATTATTATTATTATTTCTTTCTTCTTCCTTTTCCTTTTCCTTTTCCTTTTCCATTTTTCTTTTTTTTTTTTGAGAATTGCTCCCTTTCAATAATTTTATAATAGGTTTTGTTTATTATATCTTATAAAATGAATAGTTCTCGGTATGACTTATTTGTAATTCTTACAGATAAAAATTTAAGCGGAGTGCAATGTATAAAGGTGAGAAGTGTGTGTTTGCACCCAATATATTTTACAACTATACATTTCCCCATTCTGTGCAAATGCGAGTGGAACGACCTAAAAGATCAAATTCACAAGCGAAAAGCCAAGTCCATGTAATTAAAGCATTATGAAATTAAAATCCATATTTAAATTGTGATATATAGAGTCAACTAACCATTTGGAATTTTGGATCGTCGTATAATTGAATTTTGGGTTCAGAATGGGGGACCCAAAATACAAAGTCAACCCAAATAAAAAACTGAAGTACAATTTTTGGATGGCATATATCCTTATCCTAATGGTAAATTATAAAAGATATATTGTTCTATACCTGAAAAAATCAAATCAGATATACAAAGAGTCAAGTGCAAAAAAACATATCCCTCTATTATTTATATATTTTTAAAAAGTTTAGTATAGTGTTAAAACTTAAAACTCCCCTATATTATTTATTTGGGACAAATAATTCATTCGAGACTTAAAATAATAATAGAATAAATTAATAGATAGAAACACTAGTCATGTAAAATGACTATTTTGTCCAATTAGTATTAGAGTTTGTTTGTTTGGGATAAGAATAAAATAAATCACATTAAATAATAACTCACAAGACAAAATTAATTAAATAAATATTATTATTATTATTATTTTAACTAATCATTCCACCAAATACAAAACCTTGGTTTGTGAATTTATTATTATTACATTTGAATTATTACCTCTTCATCGACGGTTTTAGAAGTATCAATCTCTTATTTTGTATTAAGAGTTTAAATTTCAGAAGAGATAAGTGTGCCTGTCAACTATAAATAAATAAATAAATAATTATTTCCTCTTCTCTATAATGAAATGATTTTTATTGGCAGATGTCTTTCAACTAATTGGATAAGAGTTTTTCGTAAATATAAGAATGCTCTTGCCAAACTCGAGTCCCTGCACCTACGGACCATTTAACGCTAAAGTCTGGAAAGACTTGGGAGACATTTTTATCCAATCCTTTTGGTATTAAAAGACAATTACACTACCGATTTGAAGGACATTCATGTCATACGGCAAAAAAACTTATCACCGTCTCTGACTGCAATTGAAACTCGGACATGAATCCAAAACACACTGAAGTTTAATTTACCCAATATATATATAGACACATACATTTATTAATCGAATAGTAGGCTTGCTAACTCGGACATGAATCCAAAACACACTGAAGTTTAATTTACCCAATATATATATATATATATACACATACATATATTAATCGAATAGTAGGCTTGCTCTGTATATACACACATACATATATTAATCGAACAAGTCATTTTCATCCTAGGCTTTCAGAAACCAACAGCTTTGAATTTTCCCCTCTTGCCGTTTTGAAGGGTTTTTTGCTCTTTTGTTTTTTCCCTGTTTGCTGTTTCTCTCTGGTTCGTTTTCTTCTTTGCATTGAAAAAAAAAAAGGGAAATATCGGAATATAAAATTTTAAACAGACCGATGCATATGCGTGGAGGTTAAGAGGAAATATCCGAGAAATTTCAATATGTTTATTAATTGTTGTTGAAGCAGAAAAGTCATATAGCCGATGACTTCAGCCAAAATACCCAGAACTTTCAATCTAGAAAAGATGGTGGAATTCATACAAGTTCTCTCTCTCTGAAGATCAATGGTGGAATTAATTGTTGCTAAATCAATCAAAAGATGGCTTGGTGTTACCAACTGAAGACGGCTTGGGTACCCATTTCTTTGTTATTCTATGCTTCATTCATTCTTATTTTCCCGGGAAGGTCCATCACAGAAGCTCATGGATGGGCAATGCCTAGTGTTGAAAATCCAATGAAAATCGGTGTTCCACTCAATACCTTTTCTGATGAGTTTGTAAAGGTGGAACAATCCATCAAGAACACAGATGAGAAGAAATACAGTGGTTTTTGTATTGATGTATTTGAAGAGGTGATGAAGACTTTGAATTATCAAAGCCTCTACAAGTTTGTGGAATTCAATGGCACCAACGAAGATTTAGTTAATTTTGTCGCTGACGGGGTAATAAACCTATCTCACCAATCTCTCTCGTTTTCCATTATATATATAGGGTCAATTCTCAAGAGTTCCATCATTTTTTTCCTTTTTCAGAAAAACATGATATATCTCTCCTTATTTATCAGTCTAGTGTTAACTAAGAAAATTCATTGGTTTGTTACATATAGTAATTATTATCCATTCCTATCTTCTTTCTTCATTTTTTTTTTTTTTTTTTTTTTTTGATGAGAGTTAAAGCAGACACTCACTCGTTATGAATATGTCCCAAATGAAATTTTCAAATTTGGAGAGAATACTACTTTATAACCATTGGGCTACAACCACTTTGATATTCATGGTTAAAACTAATTTTCTTATAATATTTGGCTTAATTTGTTTAATATTCTTTCAAAAAAATAATTACAAAACAACTCATATTTTTCTTCAGTAACATGAATAAATTTTAGTTTCTAAATTTCTATGGGAATCTTAAACACTCAATTTCTACTTACACACCTTACAAAAAAATCAGTAAAATTTCGCAAATAAAATTTATAGTCAAAAGTTTATGTGCAATTCAAAATTCTTATCTAGCGATTTAAATATGTTCAAAAAAAAAAAAAAAAAATTTTACTGACAAGTGTATATTTTAAATTATAAATATAAGAACATGGAAAGTTAAAATTTTTATTTATTCATACTTCATACATATTTTAATTATAAAATAAATAGGTATTACTGTGTCGCATTAAGAAGTTCCTCCTTGCGAGTGAGATGCAAGTATTAATGTTGTATTATGAATATTTTTACGTTTTCTTTTTCTCCATTCAATTTCTTATTTCTAACAAATATTGGGATGTTTATAAATTGTGGGAAAAAAATTGGATGAAAGACTTTGGACGGTGCTGTTGGTGATATAATGACATTTGCTTACCGTTGGAAGGACGTGAAAATTACACAACCATTTACTTCGTTAGGTATGTCCATGGTGGTTCCAGTGGATCGCCAAGTTCCCAATAAATTGCTATTTTTGACCCCTTTCACCATGGAAGTTTGGTTAGCCACTTCGGCCACTTTTATGCACACGATGTTCACAGTTTGGTTCATGGAGCACCGCACCAATCCCGATCTCCGTGAGGACCAACTCAGCAATATTCTTTGGTTCACCTTTTGTTCACTATTCTTTGCTCAAGGTAATTACTGTTCAGCATTTATGTTTTGACCCAAAGCATTTTATTAAAGAAATATTCACACACAATGTTTCTGTATATATACATATATGTATATGTGAATAAATTTTGTTTTGCAGGGGAAAGGATTCGACACAAATATACTCGAGTGGTGGTGGTGCTGTGGTTTTTAGTGATGGTGTTCGTGGCAGAAAGCTACGCCGCTGGCCTCTCTTTAAATCTTAACGTCTCACAACCACCGAATGTTGAGTCGCTCAGGAAGAGCGAGGCCGTAGTTGGATGTTTTGGCAATGACGTTATAAGGGAATTCTTGGTGAATGTACTTCATTTCAAAAGGGAGTACATCAGGGACGACATTATTGCCACCCAATCTGAGTACGTGGACGCTCTCAAGAGCGGCACAATCTCAGCGGCATTTCTTCAAGCCCCTTATGCAAAAACCATTGTCAAACAATACTGCGGTCAACTTACAATCACAGGACCAACATATGAATTCGGAGGATTTCGCTTTGTGAGTGGTGGATTGAACTACTTTTGTGAAATCTCAATAGTAAATAAACAAATGTACGTTTTTCTATATATGCAGTATTAAATGTTTTTCTTTCAAGTGCAGATCTTCCCAAAAGCAGGTTCTTCCATAGCTGCCAATGTTTCTGAAGCCATTCTAAGACTAATGGAAGATGGCACTATTAATAAATTGGAAGATTACTACTTCACTACCTCTTCGGATTGTTCGAGCTTCCAAACTACCCAAAACAACAGTAGCTTGAGCCTCCAGAACTTCTCGGTTCTGTACCTCTTCTACGTCGCCATTTCCAGTGTTTGTTTACTACTATTCATCAAGAATGAAGTTCAACAAGGCAACATCACACTCACTTGGGCAAGTGTTTGGAACAAGATACTTCGACTGGAGCGATTCTTGATTAATGGAGTTTCAAGAGCAAGTGTTTGGAACAAGATACTTGGACTCATCGGAGTCTTGAATCATGCAATTTCTAGAGATTCTGCCAGATCTCCAACCTCAGATCACGACCCAAATTATGATATTGAAATGAGTCAAACCCCTGATTCTCTTGTTTAGCTAGCTATGAAATAAGAAGAACGAGAGGAAGAGTGGTTAATTTTCTGTTGATATGCATGCCAATATTTCATAATCCCTCTGGAATATATTTATTTTCATTTTGTAGTATAAATAAATATGTGGACTCCAGATACAAAGTTTACCAATAGCCTACAATATTCAAAAGTTTTGATATATCATTTTTGGTACCACGTACTCCAGATTTCTATAAATCATTAATAATTTGATCCATGTGTACACATGTTAGAAGCTGTAAATATAGTACATCTCACATGTAATAAATTGACACATCCCCATTCAATATGTTATTTGATTATGCACTTTAATATGCATTTGGTGTCACGCCTCCGCTGCTATACTCAGCAACTTATCCGATTCAAAGTGGAGAGGTGCCCATTCTAAGTTCTCATAAATTAGTCGGACAAACTCGGGTTATCCCAAAATAAAATAAACCAAAAAAATTAATAATTAAAATAAAATCAAAACTGTGGAACTTTAAAAAGGGATTAAAATGGGGAATAAAAAATTATTTTTAAAAACTAAAATAAATTAACTAGATGAATCCAAAATTCAAATAAACAAATTCAAATACTCTTGTGTGAATGCCTCCGTAGTCAAAATTGCTACTCTGGAATTGAACTTGGAGTCTTCCTGCCTATAACCAAAAAAAAAAAAAAAAGTTTGTTAAGGGTAAAGTACAGCCACACTCTCTGAGATTTGACAAAAGGATATTCAGATGAAACTTACTTATTTTTTGGACAAAGACACCCTCTGAATGTTCAAAAATGGACAAAGACACCCCTTTATATGAAAAAATAACCAAATTACCCTTTAACCGTTTAGAAGATTTTTTTAACTTTACAATTTAATAAATTAGACCAATATACCCTCATGAATAATTTAGGTATAAAAAAGAAGTAAAAAAAAAAAACTTTATATTGTTCACTTTTTTTTTCTTTTTTGTTATTTACTTTATAAATGTCCAAACTTTTTAAAAATGTAGACATCTAAAATGATTTTTTGATTCAATACATATATTTCAAATAAATTATATTTCGTTATTACTTATTTCCTTTTTCTTTTTTATTTTAAAATTAAGATGTTTAATTCTTTCATCTAAAAAAATTAAACCAATCTCTTTTTCTTAAAAATAAAAAATATGGTACCAGTATAACTTTATGCATCTTAAATTATATATCAAATATTATGCATTTCCCAACATAAAAGAAAATAGGTACCATATTAACTTTATGCATCTTAACTATATGCATGCCTTTCTTTTTTTTTTCCCTTTGTTTTATTATTTTTAGTTTTTTCCCTTTTATGTTGGGAAATGTATAATATTTGATATTTAATTTAAGATGCATAAAGTTATACTGGTACCATATTTTTTATTTTTAAGGAAAAGAGATTGGTTTAATTTTTTTAAATGAAATAATTAAGCATCTTAATTTAAAAATAAAAAAAGAAAAAGAAAAAAAGTAATAGCAAAATATAATTTATTTAAAATATATGTATTGGATCAAAAAATTATTTTAGACGTGTACGTTTTTAAGAAGTTGGAACATTTATAAAGTAAATAATAATAAATAAATAAATAAATAAAAAGGTAAACAATATAAAGTTTTTTTTTTTTTATGCATAAATTGTTCATGAGGGTAGATTGGTCCAATTTATTAAATTATAAAGTTAAAAAAGTCTCCTAAACAGTTAAAGGGTAATTTGGTCAATTTTTTATGTAAAGGGGTGTCTTTGTCTATTTTTTAACTTTTAAGGGTGTTTTTGTCCAAAAAATAGATAAATTTTCTCTAAATGTTATTTTGTCAAACTTAAAGTGGTGTGGCTGTACTTTACCTTTAAAATTATTATGAAATTAATCAAGATGAAAAAAACCTGACTAACCGTTAGTCAACCGTTAAGAAAGTTAGTTAAGAAAATACAAGAATGGCCCTAAATTAAATTAATTTGATCATCTCCATTCTCTTCAATCTTCTCCAACGGCCACCTCTTTCCACCACTGTTGCTGCCGCCCCCAATATCTCTCTCATTCGGTCATTCCTAGTTCATTGTCTCAATTGGCTCAACGTTCTTCTATTCCGCGATGACATAATTTTTAGATTGTTCATTTGTTTGCTTTTTTTTTTTGTGAGTTTCCAATTGTTTGTTTTAGCAAATCTAGGGTTGAAGTTTGGGGATTTTTGGGATCGTGGCTGTCTTTCTTGACATTGTCGGTGGTTTGTTGCTTGGTGGTGGCTTTTGGGTCTTTAGAGAGAGACAGAGCCCTTGGAACCCAGGCTTGGAGTCTTTGACGTCGTCGTTGGGGAAGTAAAACTTGACAGGGATGAGTTCGATCAGCTTGGCGTAGAAGACAACGCTGTTGTTGTGAATGAGGGCTTGAGGTAGGCGGTGCCGTGTTTCTTCTGCTGTTTTTAATATTTTTTTTCCTTTTTTTAATGATACTGTATATTACGAGGGTAAATTAGTAAATTTAAAAAAAAAATTGGAGGAATTTGAACGTTAAAAAGTTAATCTAGCAGTGTTTAGTTGATTTTTAATGAACATATCATTTTCATCTTTGGCTTGCATCAGCTTTGATTTTTCCCCTCTTGCTGTTTGAGAGTTTTTTATCTCTTGTTTTTTCTGTTTGCTGTTTTTCTCTGGTTCGTTTTCTTCTTTGCTCATATATATATATATATATATATATATAATACCCATGTATATGCGTGAAGGTTGAGAGGAAATATCCGAGAAATTTCTATATATTTATTATTAATTGTTCAAGCAGAAAAGTCATGTAGCATTGACTTAGCCAAAGCCAACATATTCCAGAAATTTCAATCTATTAGTCTGAGACACCTCAAACAATTGAGATCTCTCTCTCTCTATCTGGCTCAGAAGATTGTGAAATTGTTGCTAAATTAATCAAAAAAATGCCTTGGCGTTTCCAATTCAGAACAGCTTGGGTACCTCTGTCTCTGTTCTTCCATGCTTTCACTCTCTCCCGAATGATGTCCATCACAGAAGCTAAATACACAGAAGGATGGCCAATTAAAAAACCGTTGATTATCGGAGTTCCAATCAACACCTTTTCTGACCAGTTTGTAAGTGTTAAAAAATCCGTCAACAACCCAGATGAGAAGATATATACTGGTTTTTGTATCGACGCCTTTAAGGAGGCAGTCAAGAATTTGAGTCCCACTCATTATCATCTACGCCACAAGTTTGTGGAGTTCAATGGCAGCTATGATGATTTAGTTTCTTTTGTCGTCAACCAGGTAATTAACACATCTCCAACCTCTTCTTTCTCAAGTTGTGATTATATAAATAAGTGCTACTTCTGAATATTTCTGTAAAATTAATACAATTTCTATTCTATAGTTTATATGCAATCCAAATTTTTATTTAGCAATATAATAAGTATGTTTAATGTATTTTACTAGAATTTGGACAATTTGACATCTTATTAACTTTAATTGCTACATTATTAATCTAAATTCCAAAATTACAGCAATTATACTATTATAACATTTTATTGACTTCTTCATAGAATTTATGTCAATGTGAATTATACACTGACAACTTTTAATTGAGTTCAAATTCATTTTGTTAATGATGGAAGACTTTTGATGCTGCGGTGGGAGATATAACAATACTTGCTCACCGGTGGAGGGTCGTGGATTTTAGTGCTCCATTTACTGAATCAGGTATACGGATGATAGTTCCAAGGATGCCCCAAACTCGCAACGCATGGTTGTTTTTGAAGCCCTTCACCAAGGAATTGTGGGTAGCGACTATGGCCATTTTGATGTACACAATGTTCATATTTTGGTGGTTAGTGTTTCGCTCCAATCAAGAATTCTGTGGTCAATGGACGGACCAACTCAGCACTGTACTTTGGTTCACCTTCTCTACACTTCTGTTTGCTCACAGTAAGTATATTGGTGGGATGATTTGTTTTGAATCCAAGCATATTGGTGGGATGATTTGTTTTGAATCCAAGCATTTCATTGAATATATATATATATATATATTCAATGAAATGCTTGGATTCAAAACAAATCATCCCAGCATGTAATTGTTTCTAAATTGTTTTGTAGAGAGTTCTCATATAGACTATGAATAAATTTTGCAGAGGAAAGGATTCAACACAACTATACTCGAGTGGTGATGGTGGTGTGGCTTTTTCTGGTGTTGATCTTAACACAAAGCTACACTGCCAGCCTCACTTCAATGCTCACCGTCTCAGGACTTGATCAAAATGTAGACTCACTCAAGAAGAGCAATGCCGTAGTTGGTTGCTACGGCAATACCTTTGTAAGAGACTACTTGGAGAATGTACTTCATTTCAAAAAGGACAACATCAGGGAAGACATTGCCACCCAATCTCACTACGCCGACGCTTTGAAGAATGGCAGTATCTCAGCGGCATTTCTTGAAGTCCCTTATGCAAAAGCTATTGTCAATCAACACTGCAATCAACTTACGGTCACAGGACAAACATATAAATTCGGAGGATTTGGCTTTGTGAGTCCTGCCTTCGACTCTTCAAATTCCGTGAAAATTGAACTTCAATTCTTGTGCAAGTTAATTACCAGACATGTTTAGAAAAGAACATAAAATTCGAACAGTAGGAAAACTCACCAAGCAATACCACTAATTAGTACCTCAAACACCATCTTTCTTCATCACTATTCCATAAGCACTAGCTAATCACATTCTTATTAGTAATATCTATGTTTATCTACCATTAATTATGTACTCAAACTGAGTATTAGATCTTCCTCTTGCTCTGAGTGCAGGTCTTCCAAAAAGGTTCCCCTATTGTTGACGATGTCTCTGCAGCCATTCTAAGATTAATGGAGGATGGCACACTCAAAAAATTGGAAGATGAGTACTTCGCTCCCTCCTCGGATTGTTCAAACTTTCAGACTGCCAAAAACAACAGCCGCTTGAGCCTTCAGAACTTCTGGGCTCCATACATCTTCTACATAGCCATTTCCACCATTTGTTTAGTACTATTCAGCATTCACTCACTGAACAATCAGCGTCACCGCCATAAAATACTTCTTCAAGAATGTGACATCACCCACGTAAGTGCTCAGAAAAAGATACTTCCATTCGCGCAATTCTCGAATAATATTGCAGATTCAAGAGATCGTAGCTGGGCTCCAATCTCAGATCATGAGCCTATTTATTCTGTAATTCGCTAATTAAACACAAACACCTAGCTATGTTGTTTATCTAGATATAAAAATAAGAAGAATTCGAAGAACGTACTGATTTTCTGTACATTAGCCAATATGTTTGTAAACACAAATTTCCTGTCTGAAAATTTAAGAACATTCAATTTTGTTGGGGTGTTGGTCATGAACTGGTTGTGATAAGTGAATTCAACTTGAGAGTGTAGAAAGAGCGTAGATGTGGTGGACATTCGTAGACTTCAACCTGACCAAAGAGTTCGAGTTTTTAATCGGTCAAATGGGTACAATGTCATAATCCATTTATGAAATGTAATTAATGTATATTATTGTTATTTTGTTGCGCAAAAAAATAAAAAAATAAATGAATAAAAATAAATAAAATTGGACTATGCACATAGTAGTCACTAAAAAGCCACACACTGTTTCGAATTTTCTGGGAGGAGGATAACATTGGATAGTATTCACCAATAATATTGCTGTAGGAGTAATACCCCTAAACAGAGAAACAAAGAAAATTATATCTTAGTTATCAAGTAGTGGAACTATTACGGGACATTATGAAGCAGCATTTCCCTTGCTAAAATAAAAGAAAAAAATAATTCTTAGAGACTTCCGAGTGTTTTTTATTTTTAAATATTTGAAGTTACTCAGTTGAAAGTTGAATTCTTATGATCAGCATGAACTTATTCATGGCCAACTTGCTAGCTTCTAACCACTAACTTGCATGTTCCTCCTAAAGTTGCATGTCCTCCAACTTTAGTATATAAAGCTTGGCTTGTTTCATTTAGTACCCATTTTGGAATCGCATGCAATAGCTACTACGCAGTGTTAACTAATAATTACCACCACAGTTTCAAATTATACAAAATCATACCATTAAGCAACCATAAAAGACACAATTTAAATGATAGAAGAGAGACCCCTCTCCAATTCATGTATTGTCTCGTAGGGTAAAGAAAAAAATGATTAATAATAAATCATGTATTGTCAATTTGCATTACTCACTTGTGAAACACTCACGCTTAAAGCAGTTGTTATCGCTCTGAGCCATTGCTGTATTTCCCTTTCCTACATTACCCACAACAAATATATAATATATTTATTTTTACATCATTATCTAGAAAAAGATTATATATATTTCTAGTTGCACTGAAAAATGTTTTCTCATAACTCATTTTCTACCAAATAAACCGGATCCAAATAAACATTCAACAAAAGAAATGCACCCACGAACATGCAAAGAATTTTAAAAGATGATCAAGAGGTCGCTTCATCCGACTAAATTACATAATTTGGAATGCAGGCGCTTCAGCTCCAAGACAGTGTTAGACAAGCTCCAGAATAATCTGATCAAGAGTAGTGTCAGTTTACAATCTAAAACTCGTCGCTTTCTTAATCAAAATTTGTAACAGTAGAGATCATTAAAATGTGTATAATAATTATTAATCTTGTCCACCACTCTTAGAAATTTCGACTCTTCTTCTACCATAGACATGAAACAAAGCTACCGATAGCCCCTCCCTCTCCCCCGTCCACCCCACCCTCTGCCTCTTCCTCTGCCCCTTGTAAAACCTCTTCCTCCGTATGATAGACCTTCAAATGCCCTATTAACAAGCTGATTTTGCATACCACCAGCTCCCCGACCCTTTTTTGATGCATTATTGCCTGAACCATTAGCAGCACTCGCAGGACGTTTCCTGTTGCAGTGAGAAAATAAAACAAAAAGTTAATATAGAAAGAAGGATGGATCTGTTTCCAATAAGCTTCATGTACATTTGGATGAATGAATGAATTTGTGAAAGGACTTGTTTAATTAAAAAAGTTGGTTATGAAGTTGAAAACAGCCCCTTTATGCAAATAATAACGTTGCAAAGCAGGTGCGTGTCCTATATCTGCCGCAGACAAACTTCCTACTTTAGCAAGAACAAGACTAGGTAAAGGCCTAGATTTAGTTACCAACACACAATTATGGGAAAATATTACCTTCAGCAATAGAATGGGGAGCTCTACTCTTATCCCATGACTAATCACTGTCTCAAAATATTTAGAAAATCTATGTGGTGGGTCTAGAGGGGAATGGGTTGGGGGTAAATAATGAAAATAGGCGGTTTCTTAACATACCCAGCAACAGTAGCAGTTGAAGGCGCAGAAGGCTTTACTGCTTCTTTCCAAGATAGATTGATTCTCTTATCTCCAATGAAAGAAGGTGATTTTGAATGCAATGGCTGCAATATTAAAAATTGTAGAAAAAAATCAGTTTGAGAACATGGGAATGTGCTAATAATCCATAGGAGTTTCATTCCCTCACCTGTGTCATTGCCAAAATGTTATTGCAGGTTCGCAGTCCAGTAGTAGTATTCTGCTTTTGAGTTTTCTGCAGATTACATAGATTGTGCATCAGATATATGCTAGGAGAATAGCTTGTCAAGAGAGTATACAAGATCTCCTGAGTGAACTCACAATGCTAGCCTTTGCTTCATCAGATTTTGCACTAGCCATTGATTTGTTGTGCTCAGCCATACCCTGTGTTAATTTCTTCATGGTGGCCCTAGCTAGCTCTTCGACGCTGCTTAGCCTGTCTCATTAACATAGCACAATTAGGAATGGAGAGATCAATTTTAACCATACTCAATGTTAAATAATAGAACACAGGCAGTCAATTTATCCTCCCCACTGGTTGATATTGCTATATAAGTTGGTAAGAAACAAATACATGTTTTAGTAATAACAGAAAAATGCTAAGCATAGAATTTATTAGGATTACATGCACCAACTGATTGTAGAACAGGTCGGGAAAGGGAACTCTATCAGATACCAATTCTAGTAAACTAATCCAAACCCCATTACAAACCCTAGGTGGGGCAAGTAGGTCCATCACATATAAAGGTGATATGAAATGTAAGAATAAATCAATTTTATCAAACAACTCATGACATGAAAAAACAAAAAATAAACTAGAAATAAAATAAAGTGGTCATTACAATGATTTCCAACATGATCATAGACGAGCCTTCAATCATGCAGAGACAAGAATTATGACAATTGATGATATCTTGATCTCGATCTTGGATATGAAATGATAGATTGTGATATCTTCCGTGGCGCAGCTCTTCTTAATTTGAAAATGACACTTCATCACAAATAAAACCCATTACAGATAATGAACTCTGGAACCTCCACTAAGAAAATTAGTGATCGGAGTGTCAACGAACAAGGACCTCTGGCATTGTCGCCAAGCAGCAAAAGAACTGGAATTCAAAGCACCACTGATTTACTCTCATCTTTTAACCATCAAAATTAGGTAGCCAAAAATTATAAAAGGGGGCCAGGATTCTCAATAATAGCTAGTACTGGGGTAGGTTTGCAGCTGGAAACCATGGAAACAGTACTAAACCAAACCCAGATCAGGTCTATGATCTTCTCCCAACCTAACACTAGTCCAATTAATGGTCACCCAGAACTGTCTCAGTAGAGGCATCTCAGGCCATGACACCAAACTAAAAATCCTCATTGCCATCCCTATATAGTCATCACTAAAACTGGTGTCAAGCACTAGGGCTTTTGAGACTTTCCCAAGTAAAATCACATAGGAGACCATCAAGTTGATGTTGCCCTTTCAGAGATTACTGCACATCCATGATGAAACAACATATGACACTGCGAAAATATACATCAGGGAAGGAAAACAATAATAGAAATTTTTTTGGCGATGGATGCATAGTGGGGCAAGGAGAATAAGGGATACAGGATCCAACAAAGGGATGAAGAAAGAAGTGAAGCAATAATAATGAAAATTGTAAATCTGGAAGTGGAATATAGAAAAAGGTGATTAATTCAATTCAAAGGCACCACAAAATCAAAGGAAGGCCATAAAAAATGTTTGTCATAACAGGAGGAAAACATGATAACTTTGATTTCATACCGACAAGATAGAGTTGAATGGCAAGAGAGGATCTTTTCAACTGAGCACACTGGTAGTCGGTAAAGAAGGCTTTTCTAGGTTGTAATGTACTACGAATCGCCAGTCCCACAGTTTTGACATCAACATCTTCCAAACTGAAAGCAAATGCTCCAATAGCCAAGAGAATTGACAAAATGCAGTAAATAAAGAGCAAGGTTACCATGCTGATGCAACCTTGTGTAAAGTCGGAGAAAACTATCCACCAATCAAAACTACATGACTTTTAATTTTGGGTCCACAGTCCACCCAAGGCTTATTTTCTTTTAGCAGATATGAGCCTCTGGTACTATCAACTCTCTCCTCCCAGACCATCGTGGCTTTACCTTCTTCCCCAGAGAAATAGCAATTGTGCAGCTAACAGTCTGACAAAGAAAACATCCATAATGCTCCTCCACCCTAAGTCAGCCCACCTTTTATATGTGTCCAAGTTCCAAATAATCAGTCAAATAAACAAATTATCGAAGTTAACTGAGTGGTAGTTTCAATACCCCGTATCAACAAAATGTCTCGACTAAAATCAGGAGTAGTTTCTAGAGTTGCAGAGATACAGGTCTGTTATTAAATCCCCTGAAGAAGACAGAAAGATGAGCATCAAAGAGACCACTTCTTTCCCCCCAGTTGTACTTGTACCTGAAATTCTGAACCTAATAAACCAGTTGATGAAAATTTATTGAGGATGATGAATATAGAAGCATCTTACTGGTTTCCACTATTTCACTCTTTGACAAGATGAATCAAATGAATTTAACTATAACAATTACAGGCATGCTCTCAATCTCAAACATCAAGTAGTGATCAGATGATTCAGATTTGTAGGTTTTCATACTCTATAGATAAATATGGACGTAGACCTTCCTTTGCAATAAACATGGTTTATTATTTCTACAGTCGCCAATTATTCCAACAACACGTAAGCTGAAATTGCACTAGTGGGTGTTTGGCTTCTGTTCTAGGGCATTAACAATCTATAAAACTCAATCACCACAAAACCACCTATGAAATGGAGTACCATATGGCGTATGTTGGTTCTGAGTTCTGATTCTGTAGGAGTTCCAAATCATGATAGTTGGCAGTCATGAAGTACAGAGCTTTTATATTATCTAAAAGCACATTTCAGTAAAACCATTCAAATCTAAGAGTTTATTATGCCAATTTGACCTTTTATACAGCCTGGAGAAGAAAACAAAAGGAAAAATGTAACATTATTAGGTGGTGCCTAAATAACATACGCATTTATGCAATTTAACCTATACACCATCTTTTCACTTTCTCTCTTCTTCTTATTTCCTTCATAAAGGAAACTTATTACTTATGGCTAATGCAACCCAAGGTGGGTTCCTAACTGTCCTGTGTTAATATGCATCACTGCTGAAATCGTAACATTTCCCTATTCTTGAGGACTAAGCCAGAAATTATTGCCAGTTCTTCTTTCCCCCCTTTTTTATTATTAACAATCAAGATTATGAATCACGTAGGCTTAGCATTAAGTCCATGGAAAATTATAGTGGAATATATACTTACAGAAATAGAGAAAATTTAGTAGAAAGAACATATTACCTCTCAGTGAAATCTTTGTAATACTCTGAGAAATCCTCCCCAAGCCTATCTGATGGTTGGCCAGTCACTATCTTGTAACCACATAAACTATTAGTGGCATTTGGAGCCTGTATGAATTAAAGAGCAAATAAGCATTCAGCAGAAGAAAAGAGAGTGAAATATGCTAATAGGATAGGTTTTTACAGTATTAATAACCTTGTGAGCCAAATGGTGAAATGTGTACAACAAGCACTCAACATAAGTAAAGTTCATCTCTTCTCCAGTTTTTCTCCGAGGCATGTACTTCTATGACAAAGAAGAAAAATCATGAGACAAAGAGAACCATAATATAAAAACCACTAGACAAAGGTTTCCTGCTTCTAGAAACCTTCAAATTCTTCCATTAATATAATTGCAAAACCTTAGACTCAGAATTCAGATTGAGAAGGAAACAAAAATGATATGAGACAGAGTTGAAGAGTTGAAGTACATACATGAATTCTAATGGTCGAGATTGACAACAGGAATATACCAAAAGGAAAAAAGTAAAATACAAAAGCACCTAACATATTATATGCTATTCTATTGATTAATATTTGTATGTTACTGTACAAAACAATAGCTTTAAGATCTGAATGACGGACGATCGGCATGTAAACTATATTGCAAACAAAATGTGTACCTTTAAGAGCTGAACAACAAGGGGGAGAATTTGTCGTGAGTCCTGTGGAATTGTGTAAGGTGAACTTTCTGCAAGGTTTTTGAGCAAGTCTACTTTGCGTTCTTCAGGAAGCTGAAAAGCAAAATCGTGGTTAGAAAAAGAAAAAAAATGCTAATAAATATTTTTTTAAAATTGACAAAGAAATCAATCTTTGAAACATAACTACTCTAGCTCCTTAGGGTCCTTAGGATAGAGGAACTCTTGAAATCTCTAGTAATTGGCCATTAGTAGTTTTTCAAAAGCTTCTGAAGGATAAATTTTTTGTTTTGTGAAATGAGAGTAAATCTCATAAATGTCAGATTCTTTGTATTGTTCTTTAACACCTATAAACAACTTTCATATCAAAATTCATTAGGTTTTTCAGTCATCTTAAAATATCAGTTATATTGTATTTCGTATGCATGCGTGTGCATCATCATACTGCACAGTCTGCGCCAGTCCCATTAATCTGGTATGCTAGGACGGTTGGGCAGGAGACAGATCTAACTTCTGGATTTATTTACATTAAATATTGACAAACACACGGGTCAGTTTTAGTTAGGACGGGTGTGTGCATAACAGTTCCTCCAAACTGATAGCTATATTACCTAGGTGGCATAAAACAACCAATCAAGTAAAGAAAACGATATAATGATCCATCCTAAATTTCTATAATAAAAATAGTACTATGGAAAGTAACTGAATTCTCATATCAAACCACCACTCTAGACATAATGTGATATCTGAATTCTACACAACTCCGTCCTATATTGTAGATGTTGAGCTTAACCAAAATATTTATATTAACTTGGTGTGGGATGGGTTGTGGGGAGGGGGGAGAAAAAGAAGTTAAGAGATTGTTATGGAAAATTCAAAATCGAACTCATTGTTCTATTATTAAATTTAATCTTCTAGTTCTCCAAATTTCCAGTCACCATACATTTCAAGACAGCCTATAGCCTCAAGCTTTCTAAGATATTTGTATCATCAAAATAAAGTGTTTTTCTTCTTCAGAAGCCGATGATGCATGCAAATGTTTGCTTCCAGCCTTCAACCACTCTGAGCCACACATTAGTGACAATGAGTGTATCATATGTATTTATGTCTGATGATTGATCTCAGTTATATGTTGAAAAAAAAAAAAAAAAACTAAGTTATACGATCTGCACAAGTAGAATAAAGCTGATTACAATTTAACTGCAACGTTGAACATATATTAAACCAATACCTATTTCAAATAGGGTGCCTACATAAAATACAAAAAGTAGTCATATGAAGAAAAGTTAAACAAATCTGCTTATTTTACTCCAATGAAAAACAGGGCAGCCAACATACATCAAGCAATTAAGCAATTTTGACAAATTCAAGTCAGCTGGGGCCATAGGGGGGAACTTGACTGTATTCTGCATACCAAGGACCATGCTGCAAAAATATGCCCAAAATTGGGTGGAATCTGATAGAATGTGGACTCGATTTGAAGGCTTTGGAAAATTAAGTTCAGAAATATGCGATTCATCATGCATCCATATGATGTAATACATATAAATTCCATCAAATATGTATGTGCAAAGGCTTAATGAGGTCAACAACGTAATACTGTTAAATTGCCCACTTACAAAAATCCGTAGGAAGTTGGTGTCTGTCATAAGTGAAGCACGGGTACTTCAGTCTTTAGATTCTTCATTTAGAATAAAATATATACACAAGGTATCAGGGTAGGGTTGGGGTTCATCTATACATACTATCTTGTGGGTAACCCTGTAAAGTTTGTGCATACACCTCAAATAAGAACTTTAAAATCAAGAGCATTGCCATTACACTAAGGTCAACTGAAAAGCCTTGTGCCATGTTATAAAGCATGATCAATTTCTATTGATTCATGCTACAATAAGCAAGGACAACAAAGTTAAAGAAATTTAAGAGAGAACAAGGAGCATATCCAACTTAAAAGACAGCTATTGAAGTGCATCAACAAGAAAAGCATGTCCTCAAAGAAGGCAAATGGTGAAAGATTTCAAAATATTAAAAAGAAAGGTTAAACTTACAATTTGATATGGTAGGTGCGATATTACCTTATCAAAAACAGGCAAAATGTGCTTGTTCAAATAGATGATAAACTTGCTATTGGATGCACCCCGCTGCAACCAAAACAGGGGTTCAGTTGAACAGAAAAACATACTATTTATTAGAAAGGTAGAAGCCAACATTAGTCATAGAAGATACCACAAAAAAAGGAAGAGCCATGTACAGGCAAGATATTAATCTATCAATGTGGTCCCCATCTGAAACCTGCATCCCCAAAAAAAAATTATAACCAATGATGTTGTAATGTAGGAATCACATCATCATAAAGCAATAGTAATCATTAAGATTACACTTGAAATTAAAGAACATTAGGGAAAAGAGAGACAACAGACACTGCCGCCCAGACCAATGCTTAATTATAAGCAGAAAGGGGAATAGATACTCAACCCTTTTGATTAAGGGAGGTGACCTGGAGACTTACTCTTTGATAAACTAATAAAGTGAACCAAAAGGGATGCAACCCATATAAGAGCTCAAGAAACCCACCACCTAATCTACTACACAACTATATGCGTAAAATGTCTCAAGAGAGAACACCTAAAAAAACAACTGCGGAGGAAGAAAGTCCCATTGAAAGCACAAAAGACAGATTTCAAAAAGAAAAAGACAATAGACTTCATGAACAGGTGACTCCACCCTTTGAATGTGTGACTGTTCCTCTACTTCCAAATGCACCAGAGGAGACAATGAGAGACTGTCCTAATTTTCATCTACTCTGAGAAAATACTATCATTCCAGCCCACAGTCACCAGACAGAGCTAGGTATCACCCAATACACTCCCAAGAATTATAAAATAAGGGAAACAGCACTAGGCAACATTTAACGCAACAACAGTGATTATCGGTCTTCTCCACCTTCCTGCACATACAACACTGATTCAAAGCCGTACTCACAAAATTATCAATGTCAAGATCTTCCCTGAAAGTGATTAGAATCCCCACACAGAGACGCACAAATTAACTTAGGAATTAGCAATTATAGTAAAAATGCACCATACACAAAGAAAATAGTTTATATTGACAAGTGTAATTCTCTATGCCAAGAATGTGAGCATATTCTCAAACGTTAGTAAGAACAGATTTAGTTTGCAAGGAGTCATTTTCAAAGATAAAACAACTGATTTCCTAGACAAAATGAAAGAAATACTCACATTGAACTGTGCATTTAGATCAGCTTGCCCTTCAATAATTTCAATGAGCTCTTGCACACGCTCTGGAGGAGCTTTCTCTCCAAATATATTCAAACTTTTTAAGAAGTCCATAAACATTTTAAATTCAGCTCCCGTCACATCTTGCAAACTCTGCAATAGTTAACTCAATCAAATTGCTTTCATCTTCAGAAAGAAAAACATCATCATCATAGCAATCACAACTATTTACTATGCATTAAAAATCAAAGGAGAATAACAAACCAATACGGTTACAAAGATGACGAGATATACTAGAGTAAACAAGAAACATATAGCCAGGAAAAGAAAATTGTGAACATACTTTTTTTATCAAATTAGTTATATGCCTTTCCATTTCCTCCTGAGGTTTCAAGAGCTCAGCTTTAAGAGGAAAAACCTGCAAATGAAATTACTTAATCCTCACTTATGTTTAAGAGAAAAATGCTGACACTCACACGGCATTACATCATTAGTTGTACTTGTCTCACCTTATCTTTAATAAAGATTAGGGTCCTCTCACGAAGATTTTCATCCGTGCCCGGTTCATCAACGCTCTCAATGTGCTTAAATAGGGCTGTCAAAGAAGCTGCATGAACAAAGCCATTAACCTTATTTCTGATAAATAGTTGTTACTCCAAGCAGCAGTCCAAAACATAAATTAAAATTAACATTAAAATGAGAAAAGATACACACGTTGAAAGTTTATTGATGAGAATTGTGCAGTGCAATACAACTGACACATATAAATTTTTGATAAGTAACCCACATATATTATTTTTTGATAAGTAACCGACATGTATTAATTTTTTTTTTATAGGTAAATTAACACTCGCACAAACCCACAAATGCCCACCTAGGAAGCACAAATACTTCTACAAGAGTGACATACCCATAACGTGTCTGTATCAGATACCGATACTCCTCAGTTACTCACGGATATGTCTCCAATACTTCCTAGATGTACCCAAAATTTTAATATATAATTTTTTTTATTTCTAACACATATCCGATACTTCTTAAATACTTCTAAAACACATATTTAACAAAATTTGAATATTAAGATGTAACTTTTCCAACAATAATATCATAGTATAATTGTTAAGAAAAAATTAATATTTATTCAAAAAAGAAGTATTGAGATATATATCATGATTTAGTCAAAAATTTATTTATACAATATAACTCTCAACTTTGATTTTATTTGTTAATCATAAAATTTTATAAAGAAATATTAATAACAGGGTTAATTACACTCACACCTCCTGAGGTTTTCCCTATTGACAACCAGATGAAAGTTGGTATCATTTTTTACAATGACACCCTTGGACAGAATTTGGATCCAAACAGGCCCCTAAAAGGTGAAAAAAATAAATTAAAAAAAATAAAAAATAAAAAAAGATGATATTACCCTTCAATATTTAATTTATTTTAATAATAAAAATAATAAATATATCTCAAATTGTAAAATGACAACTTTGTCCACACTTATTAGGGTTTTCATAAGCTTCTAGCCAGACATGCACACCTTCTCTTTCTCTCTCTCTCTCTCTCTGCCACCACCATCTTTCATCAACCACGGCTGCCACCACCATCTCTCCTCAACTACCACCACCTCTCTCTCTTCAACCATGATCACCGCCACAGCCACCATCTCGTTGGATTGCTCCACCTCTTACCACCATTACTCATCAACACCACTGTCCACAACTAGGGCTACAACCACCCCCAATTATGCTTCTCCCTCTCTTGCACAAATACACATATATAGATATGTATACAAAGACAATTGAAATCGCTTGTTCCCTCTTTTGCACAGACGCGCACACACACATATATAGATATGTATACAAAGACAATTGAAATCGCTTGTTCCCTCTCTTGCACAGACGCGCACACACACATATATAGATATGTATACAAAGACAATTGAAATCGCTTCTTCCCTCTCTTGCACAGACACACACACACACATATATAGATATATATACAGAGACAATTGAAATTGCTTCTTCCCACACACACATATCCATACATATATAGATACACGTGTCTTCCCTCTCTTGCACACACACGTATAGATACATATACACATACACATACGTACACGCATAACCACACCCACATCACCCCCAAATTGCACAGAAGTTGGGGTTTTGTAATTTATCCATCAAAACAAACACAAATAATTGAAATCGCCACCACCGCAACCACATCTCTAAACGCAAACGAGCCGCCACCACTGCCGACGATGATGACAACTCAACCTTCCTCAAGCCGCCGCCGCCACCACTCAAAGCCCTAAATGGCGGCGTCGACCTCTCCCTCATCAAAGCTGTCGACAAATCCCAAAACGCCGTCGATTCTTGATCTCTTCCACCATGACACCATTGAAGTTGTCGGATTGCTCCACCTCTTACAAACACTCCCAATCACGACCACCACTACTCATCACCACTGCCATGGAGTATATCTTCAACCTTGAAGATGATGATGGGAGGTTTGAGTTGTGTACTTATTTTGGTGGGTTGTGTATTTAATGGTGGGTGGTGGTTGTGGGGTGAAGATTGCGGTGAGAGAGAGAGAGAGAGAAGGAAAGAAAGAAAGGGAGGGAGGAGGTTAGGGGATTGGGTGTTGCAGTATACCGGAGGAGGGCGTCAAATATGGGTTTGGGGAATGCGGCAGCAAATGAGGCTATGATGCAAGAGGGAAGGATGAAGGTAAATTGACTATTTAAAAGGGTCGTTTGGTCCAATAAAATGAATTGTAAAAATTAAAAAAGTAATTTCATTATTAGAATAGGTCAATTAACAAGTCAAAGAGTAATAATTTCAATTCACCACATTTGGGGTGTCTATGTTAACTTTATTAAACCTGAGGGGGGGTGTGTGTGTGTGTTTAAATGGACTAACTTTCATCTGGTTGTCAATAGGGCAAACCTCAGGGGGTGTAAGTGTAATTAACCCTAATAACAATATATATAACATAAACAATTATTATTTAATTTTTTCATAGATACACACATATTGATTTTTATGCAAATCTACATTTATAAATATTTATATATATAGTTATATACTGTCGTGTCCTGATGTATCCGTATCCTATATTTTAAGATTTTTTTTGTATCGCCATATCAGATCGTATCGTGTCCATATTCCGTACGGGTGGCAATATTTGACACAACACACTAACATGACACGAGATAAGAGGGTTTGAGTTTGAACTAATCGTGTTCATGTCATAATCGTGTCGACACGGATTGACCCATTAACTAAATGTATCATATTCGTGTTTGACCCTACCAACACAATTATGACCCGATTAACTAAACGAGTCAGATAAACGTATCGTGTTCATGTAAAAAATGACCTATTTAGCTAAACGTGTAGAATAAATGTGTCACAGTTGTGTAAAAAATGACTTTAACGTGTTTTTTTGTGTCATTTCGTGTCGTGTCATGTCCTGACCCATTTATTAAACGGGTTACGCGTTTCGTGTCGTGTTACATGTATAATAATCGTGTCATGTTCGTGTCAACTCTAATTGTGTTCGTGTCATAATCGTGTTGACACGAACACAACCCGTCAACACGAATTACCACCCCTAATATTCCGTGTCTATATTCATGCTTCATAGATGCCCACTATAGGGCTCAAACCCCTCACCTCTCCAAATTGACATTTATTAATTTTGAAGAACATGGAAAATAAAAATCAATGACATCTCAATATTCTGGTGAATAGATTTACTTATCAATACAGAAAATAATAAATCCATGAAATCCAATTATATTCAAATCCATTGAGCATATGTTACATGGACTCTTCAAAATTAGTTGAAGTACTGGTGTCAGACACACTATACTCACACGTATAGATGCAAGGTTGGGAGTTCAGGTGTGGTTTGCAACGCGAGTCTCCATATAGATGCAAGGTTGGGAGGTCAAGCTGGTTGGCTACTTGTAAGAGTGGACAAAACAAAACTGAAGAAAGGCTAATAAGATTGGGCAGGGAACAACAAAATCTGAGCGTAATCCGAATCATTTATATAAAGTTTAGTAAGATTTGCGTTAAACCCTCCCTGGAGTGTTATCTGGGGTTAGAATGCTCCAGCTATCTGTGTTGATAGCAGTTAATGGCCTTGTCCAGTATCTCAGGTTCTCCTCCTACAGTCATCTACTCTTTAATTGGAGATAAAATATAGCAAGTAAAAGAAAGAAAAAGGGTTGGAACACAGCTCCTTTGGCCTTGATGTGCAGTATTTAAGGAATACTTTAGAGGATTTGTAGGTATTTTGGGAGGGGAAGAGAAATATATTCATATTGTTAGAGATTTACTTTAAGGGGATTCTTTTATAGTTGGGTGGCATAAAGGGTTATTCCTAATTAAATTATTTTTTTTCTTTTTGAAAAGTAGTTAAGACTCTAAAACACTTATTTTTTGCTTTTTGAAGAGTAGTGACTCTAAAACAATGTACAGGACACCTTTTGGTATACCTTATGCGCACGTGGACTGTACCCTCTTTGGTAATCTTCAATGGTTCTATAATTATCCAAAATATATGTGTGTGTGTGTGTGTGTGTGTGTGTTTTGACCTATTGGAATCTATTTTCAATGCTTAACTAAAATACACCCAGATATATCACATTGATCTGAAGAAGGAAATTACCTTTCACATCCTGCCTCAATAAGGACAGAAGAGCTTTATGCACGGCATCACGCTCCACATTTTCTTCTAGATCAAAAAGAAAACTAAAGATCAAGTTTGTGTTGTAAAAAAGTACACAACATTTTTTTTTTTTTTAAGTCTAGGATTCAATAAAAGCACCACTTGAACAGCTTAATTTACCGGCTGTAAGGAGTTGTGCAAGAATGTCTACAATTTTAGAAAGATGCTCCGGAGTATCCTTGCAAAAAAGAGGGAGTCCACGAATTGCCTGTACCCTGACCTGTAACAGAATTTTAGAGCTTAACTTCCAAGGAAAAAATAATATTTAAAAACGTAGTAATAAAGTATATATCTAAAACCACCTAATGTAGCAATAAATACAGGAATAAGTTCATTTATGATTCATGGATTTATCAAGATAATCATACAGTGAACTTCATGCACCATTCACATCAAAAATCATAAAGAGAAGGGAACATCAAATCAAGAAAGAAAACCAAAACTGATAGCATGCTTCAATATGATAACTTAGTGAATGGCACCGAACATCCGAGAGATTTTAACTTTGAAAAAAATACTATAAATTCTGACAATAATCACTATATGTGTGCTTATGAGCTGGGTTTGTTCTACTTTTCAAATAAATTTTACAATAGTTCTATTACAATGTTTTGTATTTCAATCACACTAAGCAAACACAGTATATGTATACTTCTCAGAGAGAGATGAATCTTTTAATAGGACAAAATGTCAAAATCCAAGAATTTTTTATAAATCAAGTATTGAAGCACATTCACATGGTTCTTCATCTTCTCAATCCATTGAGAACACTTTATCTTAGAATGTGTATGTATGCACATAAGTGCAGGTTTTACATATTGTTGTTGCAACCTATGCACAACTTAGTGCAATAATCCATCCACCTGTGTCCTTGCACAAACACAAGGGTTCTTCTACACATTTGTTCCAACCTACATGCCCCACTTAAACCACAAGTGGATGGAATGCTTTTTGCTGTTCATCTACCTTTTTGTGGGTAAGAGAATATCCATTGATGTTTTAACTCCTTAAAACCCTTTTCTTTGTAGTTGCAAAATATTTAACCAAACCAAAAAAAAATTTAAAAAATCTAATTCGAAACTCAATTACCCAAAAAATAAATAAATAAGAGAAATGCATATGCATCTTCCAATCATAAATAAACTATACAGTGAGCGACTTCCAATCTTTCGTACTTTCATATTCAACATTCTCGCACTCCTGCTCCCCAATTTGGGCAGTCAGATTTCAGTCATAGCTATCGATACTGATAATGAGGAGCCTCGGAGGACTCAGTATCAGCAATATGAATTGACTACGTATGGTATGGTACAAAAATTCAAATAAAAAGCAAATAGGAATAGCAATAGACAACAATACAAGGCATATTGCAACATCATTGCAAAAAAAAAAGAGAGAGAGAGAGAGTGGGGGAAGGGGGGAAGAATCATATAACCGCTCTTTTTTCATATTGCTTAAAATCCAGTTTCCAGTTGTAACTTTTAATGAATGCCAGGGCATAAATCCTAAACGAAAAATGAAATCCATAAGACAAAGATGCGAGAACGATAATTGGGTAAACCAAAACAATTTTTATAGAGAAATTCAAAACATAGATCTCCAAGTCAATATGAATCATGAACCATAAAGCCCATAAACTAAAGACTGAATGGTTGAAATCCATTTCATTTGGAAATCCCAATTACCAAAATTCTATATCAGGCTCATAGAATCCTTTTTCTTTCCTGTCAAATCCTACATTCCAAACAGTATAAATAGCCCAACAAATACCGCTTAAAATCTTAAACTTCACAAGAACCGCCTTTCAATAAACTTCAATCAACAATCCAACAGAACCAATCGATTAACCAACTCACAAAACTGTGTACCTTCTTCAAAAACTAGAAGAAATGGTATATTAATTGCTAATTATCTATTAAGCACACACATATATACTCTCTAATTAATGTGTATATATAAAATCACTGACCCCGAGCTCCTCTGCTTCGCACAAATCGAGATGTGAATCAACTGCTGAGTCTGAAAGTCCCGGGAAGAACTTGAAGAACCTGGGAATGAGCTGCGCAGCTAACTGCCTGGCCTTAATGCTCTTACTTTTGGCCGCCTGGATAATTTTGTCGTAGTCGTCAACATGCTGCAAGATATCAACTTTCAGATTAGCAAAGCACACCATCACAGTTCAAAAAACACACAGGTATGAATCAAGATAAGCAAAAGAAAACCCTAGAAATACAAAACAGAAGACTATAAAATTTGGAGAAGATACAGACCTGGGACTTGTCTTTGGCTTCGTTGAGTCGTTCGCCGTACTCGTAGAGGTTCTCGATGTCTTTGGAGTCGTCAAAGACGTCAGTCATTGCTAATTGAATCTGAGGAGCAGAATCGGCTGGTACAGATTCACTGGTTCGTGTAATCTGTGTATATATAAAATTATAAATGCATAAATATATGTATGTGTGTGTGTGACTGTGTGTATAAAGATCGATTTTTGGGTATTGAATAGTACTCCTGAGGGTTACAAAATGAACCTCTGTCGTCCTTTTATTTGTGTCCGGGGAACCTGATAGGTCACACCGGAGAGTTCATGGAAACTTAAATAAAGAATAATTACAAAAAAAAAAAAAAAGATAATGATTTCTCCTTAACTTGGGGATTAGGAAAATAAAACAAATATTTACACAAATTTATTTTTATTGTGTTGTCAAGTATATTTAGACGTTTCTGTGAGTTTGCTTTACCATTTAAAAATATATATATAAATCAATTTTGAAAAAACTAGCATCAATTTGATATTTTTAAACATAACAAAATTTTACTGCTTGATATAAATTTTGCATATAACAAAGCATTTTTTATCAAAAATTAAGTATATGACAATGTTAGATTTGTAAATTTGCTCATTTTTCTTTAAAATCATGTATATATAAAATTAAATTAAAAAAAAAAAAAATCTACCTCTCAAGAGGTCTAAAATTAGAATTTATATGGATTGATTTTGAGACCACTGCTGAAAAGCATAAATATTTAAGAGTAATGAATAAAGCTTTATAATTAAAGTTGAAAAATTTTTGCATAAACTTTCAACTAATTTTTTTCCAATGTCAAAATCAAAATGTTAACTTCCAAACGTAAGGTTATATAATCATTTAGATTCAGTGCAAGTATCAAATTTGAGAAATGAAAATTCATCTTCAAGTTCAATTTGCCTTCAAACTTGGCTTAGTTTCATACATAAATTCAAGTTATAAATAGGAAAGTAAAGGGCTCTCTCTCTATATAGAGATCGATCAACTATCGAGGCTTTTTTTAATTATCTTTAATATATATAAAATGCCTGAAAATCAATTAGAAATTTTATATGTATTTAGGAGAAACATTCTAATTATAGGATCCAATGCGCTTATTACTAGTCAAACTGGAATACAGTAGACAAGTCCCCTCCTGGCCCATTCTTTTTTTGGTTGTGAGCCGCCCCCTAAAATAGTATCACTAATCCCTTGTGATTCATTAGTTGATCAATAATATTTTATATTCCTATATTAAAGTAATTTAGATATAGGAAGTATTTTAACACACAACATTTCAAGAGTCCGCTACAGACAGCAAAAATTATTCTATCACGTCTCAAGTAGTAGGGAATGAAACTTGAGTTTGAACAATTTATTTGATTACTTTAAAAAACAAAATTAAATAAAAGATATGGAACATCTCAAACTTCTCAAATGTGTGTAACATTTGTGTGAAAATTTCAGTGACATCTCAGTCTGTGAATCTGGGGACAAATTTCAGAAATAAACATTGTGCCAAACCCAGAATTTTCCGAGTCTGAGCATGCCTCGCTGTAGAACAAAAATTGATATTACTTCACATATCACCTGGTAAAAATAGCAAGAGCATGCAAGTCCATATGAATACACATGAAAAAACAGGTATTGATGGCAGCTTGAATTATTATGCCACTGAAAGAAAGACCTGCTATATGCACCATTCAGTTTTGGCACACCAAAATTCCATTTTAACCATTTCTTATTAGTTATGATCCAATCTCCAAGATGGATAATAGTTTTGCCTCCTAAACTACGACGACAACAATGAACATAAGACTGGAAGGAAAAAGTGCTTTTAACATATTTCAGAGGAGAACAACCTTAATCTCAAGAACATAAAACAAAGGAAACCAGTACCTTGATGTGTCACAAGACAACAGCAGATAAATCCCACAAAGGAAGAAAATGGATCTCTTTCACTCGTATCTTTTCCACTAAGTAAAATGAAAACAACTATAGGATGAAACTTCCATGTGGACTGCCTTGTGACAATTCTAGTGCCGTTGGTTCTTCTTGCTGCTAGTATTCCAAATTTTCTTGATACAAACTACAAGATGGGCATATCCAGTGATCGTAAAACATCCTTGAACTCAAATTCACTTGTTTCCTTGTTGAAACGTTCAACCAGCTTGTACCTAGCGTCATTCAAGTAAAAAGATTGTGCAGTCTCCACAAGCCATTTTGCCTCCGTGTCATCGAGCTTGCTGGTGAAGACAACATCCCCACGAATAAGCACCAAGTCCTTGCTTTCCACAAATTCTGTGTAATAAGAAACAGTGAAATAGGGAGCAGCTTGGGTTCCTCTTGCCTTGTAATCTTCAAGACCAGTGAAGATCATGTGCGGCATCTGCACTGCAATGAGGTTTGAATGAATATTAAAGGCATAAAAACTGAACATCCCAATTAAGAAGAGCGAAGCGATTTACAATTTGGTTGACCAACTTATCAAATTTGTTGACCAAGATTAAGATTTAAGTGCACCCACACAAGCAATGACCAGATCGCCCGCATTTCCACCACAAAATAGGTACATTAAATACTATAATTTTTATATTACATCCATGTTTTTTTTGTCATTATTGCTTTATTCTTGAAATCTAAATTTCGCACTGTCCTTTGTCCAACTACAATCCCCGTATACCACAGGTTTGTGGAATATTCCAACCAAAGTGCTCAAACCTGTCAAATCATCAGCCCAGTATAGTGTAAGTAAGCAATTATTCTCAATGTGATAGATATTTCAAACCACGTCAACAAGATTTATTGAAAGATAAAATGAGCGACAACTAGGGTAGTCAAAGCATGGCAAGGTTACCATTTCACTTAGTTTGGCTCCTATTGCCTTTCTCAAGGTTATGTAGGCTATCCTCATGGACTATAATCGAAACAGTAAGGTGGTATCATATATGTTCCTCAGCTGCTACCATAGCTGATAGCAGGATTTTTTCAATGGTCTGTTTCTTGCGTGGTTCTCCCTTTCCTTGATCCCGGGGTGTGTGACCCCTTCATTTCCATTTCGGATTTCAGAACAATTCCACCCTCTGTGACAGCAGCAAGTATGATGTCCTTAAGTTCATGGTATTACCGTATTACCATACCAAAGGTTTTATATTTATTTTTCATTTTCTTTGTTTAAAGAACTCTTGACCATAAGCATGTGATCCAGTCTGATTATGTCAAGAGTTCAATCCAATCACACACACACACACACACACACACACACACACACACACACACACACACGCATACACAAAAGTGTGCTAATTCATGTCCTAAGATTATTCCACTGAATGGGTTTCAAATTGGAAAAAGATAGGAATTTCCACACCATAATTAATCAACTTTCCTGTAGGGAAAATATTAGAAGACGTTTTATAAATTAAAGTAATTAGAGACCAAACCTTGAGCAAACATCGTCATATAACCACTTCCCCTCCACAAAGGAATGACAAAATACCGGCTACAAGAACAGGAAGTAAGAAAAGCAGGAAATCAGAAACCATGGAAAGAAGACACAAACACAGGCACATACACATAAATAGAAAGATGTAACAGATTACCAATCTGCCGCTCTTTGCACCAACAGATGATACAATTTTGCTTTCATTGATGCACCGATGTGACCTCTTCCCAAGTGGTACTGATATAAATAAAATAAAATAAATAAATAAAAACCACCCTTGTCAATTAAATTACTAAAAATAATCAAGGAAATGTCATTAATTGAATGAAGGATCAATAGTTCAGTACTCCATGGTCAAATAAAGTAATAGTATCACTACATCAAACCCAATTCCCTCAATGAGGTATAAATACCATAAATACTTTTCTATAAGATATAAATACCATTTTTATTTTATTTTATTTTTTGATAAGTAATATGAGACAAATACCATGTGTATGCAATCATGAGAAGTAGAGTATACACATTGCAACAAATATGATGGTGTACTCCCAAGTTATAGTTATTTGAAGAAAGTTTTTCTAGTGGGAAGGAATTGCTCAGGTGGTATTTTAAGAACTTCACTTAAATATTTATATAGGTTTGGACCGTTTCGTGAAACATTCTGAGTTCAGCCTGTGAATTTATAGGCCAAAAAACTACCATGCTCTAGTAAAAAGTATGTAGCACACTCTTGACTTGATTGATGCTTAATTCCAAGCAAGGGAGAAATTGCGTTGAAGGGGGAATGGAAAATTGTTTCACTTGACAAAAAAAAAAATGGGGACAAATATTCAACAACCAAAAAATGAGATCAAGCTGCAAGAAACTAATTTAAGAAATTGAAGTTATTTGGTACAGTCACCAAAGATATAAAGATAGTAACTAGGTCATTCCTAACATTAACTTCCTATTGTCAACTAATATTGTCCTGGTTAAGGTAAGAAAACCTTGACTGTGGAGTAAGGACTAAGGAGCACCAAGTTTCAAAAGGGTTAAATAGACAAAACCTCAGGTGTAATCAAAATAGAGCTCTCACTCACCAACAACATTAAGACCACAGTATTGTTGGACTGAAGCAAATACAACTTATAGGCAACACTGGCATCGTAAGATCACAAGAAAAAGAGAGGAAGAAACAGAATTCCACTAGTGTAAAGTGTTGGGAGGGATAGACTAGGTACAGAAATTTACATCAGTATTTGCATAAGTAACCAACCTCAAACTCTTAGACTAGACAGTATGAGCCTTAACCATTAAACCAAATAATGACCTAAATCCCAAGTTCACAAGTAGCTTCACTTATTCTCTATCGCAACAACAATGAAATGACACATCCATACACAGTTCTAGATGTCAAATTCTTCCAATGTTTTCAAAATACAACAGAATAATTTAAATGAAAATATATAGCTATTAAAAAAACACAAATTTGGGGCTTTTTCAGAGTAACCTTCAATGAGAAGCAAATGCTAAGAAAATCTTTTGGCTATTCTGCAATCTACTATGCTTATAAGATGGACATGCTGAAGTGAATTTTTTTTACTAGAATAGGATTAAAGAAAATAAATACTTCAGCATATTTCACATCTAGTTTTCCTTGAAACAATAAAATCTACTGGTTTTTGAGATGGTAGCGTTTCACCAAAAGGCCCCATTCAAGTTGATAAATTTCAAAAAAAGAAAATTCAATAGTAAATGTTGATTGATCCATTCATATTCAGAGAGACACTCAATCAGGCCCTTAGCAAATTCGGGTTAGAAACAGATTCCCTTCTGCAAAAATAAAATTTAAAATTTAAAAAAAAATGCCCTTATTCTATGAATTGTTTATATTTGGTATCAAATATGGTCAGCAACCCGTCCTTCTGAATTTTTGTTGAACGTATTAAGCAACTGGAATGAACACACATAAAGCACAAAGGAAAACCCATTTTGGAAATCACATATAAACTAAATTTAAGCAGCCCAAGTGGAAAAGGCGAATGACATGCTAGCTTATAAGAAATTACATCATCCCAAATGGCGGTGAGATCCTCGGGTGATTGATTCTTTGCCCTCCCAATGTCAATGATGGAATCCAACGGCTTTGGCTGCAATGGGGCGAACCCAGTGGCAAATTTCGAGGTCCTACAGAAACCGAGTGAACCCCATTTTAACAAATCGCCTGGAATAGCCTGTTGTTGCAAAATTTGGGATTTTTTTCCCAGAGAGGAGGTTGTGAAAGACTGCTTTGGGAGGAATAAAGAATGTGAAGGATTGCCAAATAGCGTTGCCGCTGAAGATAATACACTCCTTGTTCGTAGACGCTGCATTATATATAGTCTGCAAATACCATGTCAAAGAACAGTTTTGAGTCTTGCAAATGAAATCTATGACAGAACAGATTTAAATGGCCAAGTGGGTGCTGAGTACTATGGTCAGGTATTGCTGTATGTGCCCAAGATCCAAAGCTAGCAATGTTTCGGGATACTGTGGTGTATAGGACTAATGAAATTCCTTTGAGCAATTTTATCAAACAGGTTGTGGCAATATAAACGATTCCTGATGCAGATAAATATGTAGACGACATGGATAATTATGTAGATGTCTTTCTATTACAAAGAACTACTTTACTTTACCTGTGATATGCTGAAGCTGTATGAAATTAACTATGATGGACTTTTATAGACAAGAAGTTCGACTCAGATGTCGATTGTCGGGCAGCAACTGCCGGAGTGCATGGGCCTCTGTTGAAATACATTAATATTTCTATATATATCTGTAGGCAAAACCCTACAACAATTACTGTGATTAGGTCAATTTTTTATTTTATTTTTTTATTTTATTTTTTGTTTTGTCAATTTTTTTTCGATTATAAATATTTGAAAAAATTACACTCACCTTCTTTAAAATTTGATCAATCTACACTGACGTCTCCCTCTTATTTATCAAATAACAATGACCTACCCTGTCAGAGCTATTGGAGGGATGCCGTTAACGATTCTAATGAAATTACTTTTCTACCCTTTTATATTTATATTGTATTTTATTAAAAACGCAATGTAATTTGAAAAGACAAAAATGCCCAAAAACCCCATCCGTCGTTCTCGTTGGCTGCTCCATCCGTTGCTGTCATACCCATGCCATCATCTTCACCATCGCCAGCCCCATCAACCAGCAGCCATCGCCGAGCACAAAGCTCGCTGTATTATGCCAGAATCGCGAATAGAGATAATAATGAATCAATGAATTTTCGGAGATTCTGAGGTGAATTGAACGATTTTGATGATTGTGACACATTTCAGTCTCCTTACCCCGAGTCCGTTGTTGCAATCTTCAAGTTCAGTGATATTACAGAACTCCGGCGAGCAAGAGCAGGACGGAGAACAGATCGTCGTCGGTGGTGTTTGTGTTGGAGTCGCATCCAATAAGAGGAGAGAGAAGACAAACACTTTCTCTCTCTACTGGTTTAACCTAAGCATGAACCGCGGCGGCGAGCAGTGACTCCAAGATGAGGCCAGACTGAACTTACCGGCCGACCGAATAACGACGACGCTATGATGATGTGAGCAAGGAATCTGGCAATTGGGCGAACGCCGCAAGCGCGAGTGAGTGGCCGAACTGTAGTCGGTCAGTGAGAATGAGATCCGTTTCGCGATCTTGCACTACTGAAACAATCTTCTGATGTGGGTGATTTTTTGGAGGTTGCAGATCTAAGCTGGGATTTTCCGAACGTGGGTGGTTTCTTTGAGCTCGTTGTTGGGTCAGTTAGATAGGTTGATGTAGCTCTGTTCCATTTTGGGTTGATGAAACTTGTCGAAAAAACTGGGTTTGGCTCGCCGGAAAGGTCGTCGTCGCCAAGCACCTCATCGCAACCGTATCCTTGCATCACCGGAGTCCTCTAAGAACACTATTCAATCTCATCGTCCAATCGACCTCTCACGAACCTGTTCACAGACCCGTTAATAGCAATCCCCAACCCAGAACATATTTATATAGCTACATAGATTGAGAGGCCGAATAGATATATGTTTAATTTGTCAACTTTTCAGGTTTTAGGTTGTACAAATGGTATGTTAACGGTATACTGAAATTTGTTATGTGATATGTTTGAGTGGTTTGAATGTCTTCAATCGTACGGAACTAATTTCTGATTACCATGAAAGCCTTGCATTGGTTTTGGCACTGGGTAGTTATAGTAGTATTCTGATTGGGGTGTTTTTCCATTTTATGGTTTGCAGCTCGAAAAGAAAATTAATGCTTTGGTAAAGGGAAATGGGACTTCAGAGAGAGAAAGGGGTTTGCTGAGAGTGAAAGGGAGATTTTAGACATTTTAGTTAATTTATTATATATTTTTGAGGGATAGAATGGGAATTTGAAAATAAAAAATTGATGACATCATCATTTTTGGTTGATAACAGTATTTTTCGTTAATTGAGGGGAGGTCCTTGTTATACGTATACAAATCTCGAGGAAGGTCATTGTTATTTAGTAAATAAGAGGGGAGGTCTGTGTAGCTTGACAAAACCTCATAGGAGGTCAGTGTAATTTACCATAAATATTTTTATATAGCGGTGAAGTAAAATTCACCACCAATCATGTTGCCTCATTTGACTATTGTACACATTTTATTTATTTTTATCTTTACCTAATGAAAATGTAGCCCTCAATAACTCGTTGTCTATTAATGTAGGCTCTCAATGACTCTTTATCCATAAGTTACATATAGGTCTTAATGTATATGTTTATATTCTAGGGATAATTCCAAAAAAAATGGTATTTTAGAGGTCAAAGGACAAATAAATGGAGTCAAATTCTAGTTTTCTAAATTAATGAAGTTTTCTCAAATGCTGACCTAGACATGGAATTTTACTATAGATTATCTTTTGATTCCCATATTGCCTATCTATATTATTGCTAAATGACCCAACTACCCAGCTCTTCTTCTGCTTCATTCTCAAAAATCAAATCTTCCAACATCAGTTTCTCCCAAGGTATGAAATCTTTTAATGATCCTTTTTGAATTCTAAGTACTTGTTTCGAAAACTTCATGATCCTTTTTGTCATGATTAGGACTGCCTGATTGATCATCTTTTAGAGGAGAAACCGAGGTCTGAATATCGGATTGAAGAGTTGCCAGTTCCTCCTCATTCTAGCTACTGCAATTGACATTTTGGTTTGTGGTGTCCACAGCCTCCACTGGGCATTCATTGTTTGATGGTGCAATAAATTTCCGTTTCTTTGAGATTTCACCACCTACCAATTCCCTATTCTGCCTCAACTGCAAAATGAACTGCTAAAGGTTGGTTAGGTTAAATATTTTGGCTAAAAACATGACCAATCTTTGTTTTGAATGTGTAGTACTTTGCTCTACATCAGTCAATTCGTTTTGTATATCCTCTTGTTGTCGTTTTAGCTTCAGAAGTTTTTATATGAAATTTTACTGTAGGTTACGAATGGCTGGCGGAGCAATCTGTCGACCACATAGAAAGAGGCATCAGCGGAGTTGGACCAGATAAGAGAAAGAAGAGAGAGACTTAAGGGTGTAATAACCTGGTCTTTTTCCTCCTTTTCTTTTTTTGACGATTTTCTTTTTTTCATCTTTTTCCTATTTTGTCTTTTCCCTATTTTGTATTTTTCTCATTTATCATTTTTCCTTACATAACCTCACTTTTTGTGCACGGATTTGATTCTGGTTTTGCATGCATTCATGATATTTGATTTCCATGACATTTGTATTTTTACTTTTGTAGAAAATACATTCTAGTTGCTTACTTTTTCATAAAGGGTATGGATGCATACTTTATTGTAATTATTCTTTATTTTTTGGGTTTTTGTGTAATTACATAAAGTAATTATCTTTCGTCTTGGGGACCATTTTGTAATTTATTTTAGAATATATTTTCAAAAATGACCTTTTTGCAATTTTTGGAAAATGTGACAAGTGTCACACTCTCATGGTGCCACTTGTTGGCAATGGGGTGGAGTGATTTGGATGTATAATCTCTTGACATTTGAAGGGTGGAAATTCACCCACTTGTTGGCCTAGGATTAGAGCACTTGTTGGCTTGGATGGTTGACAAGTGTAGGCTTAGGATTAAGCCTAAGGAGGAGCCTTGGATTTGTGACAAGTGTAGGATCACAATTAAGTCTTGCATTGTGTGTGTAAGAGATGTGGTGTAAGAACACATAATGAGTGGAGGAATACTAGATCTTCCACTCACCATTTTCACTTTATCCCTTTAATTTTCACTTATTTTCTAAGAACCCTAACCTAGCCACCATTGGAGAAAAGCTTGGTTAATAGCTTTGACTTCATATTTGGCCTCTTTCCATTCACCCTAGACTTAAAACCTTGGAACACAAAAGTTTCCCCTCACTCTCCTTTTCATTAACCTTAAACTTGTTTTCCATTTTGAGCTTGGTTGCTTGGATTATAGAGATTCAATTCTCTATTAAAGTAGGGGTGGTAGTATGTTTATATTTTAAGTGTTTTATAATCTTTGGGGTTTAATATATATTGTATACATGATTTTAATATGATAGTTTTGTATATTACAGAAAACCTCACTTCTTGACTTAGGGTTTATTGATTTAAGCATGTATGATATATATAAACCGTGTGTAGAAGGATTATATAATTTAGTAGTATGCTAAATTCTAGTATTTTCACATGTGTAGTGATATAGAACTTTAGTAGAATTATTAATGTTATATACAATTCCTATTGACTTGAATTACTATATTTATGGTGGTGATAATTCTATGATCTTGTTGATGACAATTGTGATTGTTTTAGAAGCTTAATACTATAATGTTGAAATCTAGTATATATAGCTTATTGTTGAGGCATACTTTAAATTGATAGGTTGGTGGTATTATATTGTACAGAATATCATGATGAGGACTTGTCATTTGGTATGCCATTTTAGACTTAGAACCCTAAAACATGATTTGTGTGGTTTCAAAATCCTTGTGCATGGAAGGTGGTTTATATACCTTAATTATAGTGTTTGAGTTTTGAACTTGATTGTCATTTTGGATTATCTTGAGACATTGTTACAAGTAATATGGTTAGAGTTTGACTCTAGTGCGGGAGGTATGAGTTCTCCCCAATTGAGATAGTAAGCACTAGGGTGGTCTTCCCAGCGGGTTAATGCCCGGAATAACCATTTTGATCTTGGTTTAGTCCGAGACGTGATGTCCAAGTTTTTCACTAATTGATTTCGCATTAAATTCCAAGTTGACAACCAATGTTTAATTGTAACTTGAAATTCTTGCTATTGGCGAATTGATGTTGTTAAGTACATTGATATTGATATGTGTTGTTAAAGAATCATTTAAGTTAGCTTAAGATGATCCCTTAGAACACCTTGAATATAGACATTAAGTGGAATGATCCCTTGTATTCGTCTATATTGATCTTGCAATGATATTGAAACTTTAGGGTATACGTATATGCTTCTTCCTACGAGTAACTTGATTACTCACCCTAATGGTTTGGGTTGTTTTACAGGTAAGGAGACTTTGTTCTTGGATGCTCATCATCCTTAGAGGCTTATAAGCTATTTGAAGCATTTTTGTATATTAACACGCAAGTGTTTAGCATGCTTAACTTTTGATGTCATATTTTGTATACCATGGGTGTATGGTATTTTAGAAGCTTATGTAACTTTCTTGATGTGTAATGATATTTAAGTATTTACTTTTGACATTATAAGCATGTATGTAATAAGGCCAAGGACCAAACATGATTACTTTTGTACTTGTACCCTTTTGGTACCAACATTTGCTTCAAAAATGTATTTAGACCAACTTTGGAGGTTTAGCATATGAAAATCTTGTAATTGACATGT